CGATGTACAATGACACCATGGGCATCTTTGCTGACAGGGGACTTGCCTACAGCAAGTCGAAATTGAGCATCTGAAAGCTGAAAGGGTGACAGATCATAGAGTAGAGCATTTGGATTATCAGCACGGCGCCATACTTGACGAGGGTTGTTGAGTGATGTGGATGTTGGCAGGATCAAGGTGTCACGTTCGTTGAGAGCAGAGGCATACGTTATGGTTTTGCCAGGGGGTGATTTCTCACCCGGGCTAATCTGAACTTTATCGGGAAGACCCATGTCGTTCAATGTCAAGTCGCTGGACCCTGGCAGAGCAAAAGATGCAGAGGGTCCTCTTTGTGTAACTCAGCTACTTTGCATGACTGGAAGGATGGAAGGATGATACTATATACTGTTGACAAAAGCCCGTACATTGCGGTCTAACAGCCATTTCTTCACAATAGCCACTGTTGTCCACTCTATGACATGTGAGCGATTCTCCTGCTTCAGACATTCATTTCCATGATTGGATTATGTTGATCCGAGTTGATTTGTCCGAGATACAGCCAAAGAGGGATTACATCAATCCACACATCTAACCATGTCTATGTTGCTCAACTGAAGTAACCTTGTATGAGCGTAGCTCAGCCAAATCAACTCGGATCAACATAATCCAATCATGGAAATGAATGTCTGAAGCAGGAGAATCGCTCACATGTCATAGAGTGGACAACAGTGGCTATTGTGAAGAAATGGCTGTTAGATCGCAATGTACGGGCTTTTGTCAACAGTATATAGTATCATCCTTCCATCCTTCCAGTCATGCAAAGTAGCTGAGTTACCCAAAGAGGTCCCTCTGCATCTTTTGCTCTGCCAGGGTCCAGCTACTTGACAATGAACAAAGACCACTTCTCATATAGCATCACGCTTACAAGCATAAAGGTGCTTGTATCTCCAAACTTTACAATGAAACGTGGGGTTTTTATTAGAGCAATGTGCTCGGCTTGGCCAACAGCACCTTGTGTGAAAGTTTCACCATCAAGCTTGCCATTCCCAGATTTCGCAATGTCGCTACCAGCCAAACTGGATCCAGGGGTCGACCTCTTCGACGACGACGACCAAAAAATATTTTTTGGGCTGTTTGCGACATTGAACGCGAAACTTTCACACAAGGTGCTGTTGGCCAAGCCGAGCCCATTGCTGTAATAAAAACCCCACGTTTGATTGTAAAGTTTGGGGATACAGGCGCGTTTATGTTTTACCTATGCTGTAAGCGTGCTGGAGTTGCTTTTTCCTAGTGGATGGTGTCGGCTGCATTAACGGAAAGATGAAGAGCTGAGTGAAACGGCACGTGGGTGGTTACACAGACTTGTCCTTGACAGGTTGCTGCACAAATGGGTGATGATAATGATTGCCTTTTGTGAAGGTACGTAAGTAAACAGCATCCAATAATGAAGGTGTGTCAAGGTATGCATCACATTTGCATGTAGAAGAAAGTCGAGCTGCATAAACCAATTTGTATATGTAAAAAGATACATATACATACTGAATGAGTCACTCACCCTGAAACTCAATGGAGGGATCTCTTCACTTTTTCTCTTCTCAAGCTCCTTATTGTATCACAAAAGCCATGTACCTTCTGCATGACCGATAACCGGACCACCTTTATTATTCCATCTTCGAAGCAATAGTATGTAATCCACAAGCTAGCAACCTCCAACAAGCGTTTAATAAATAAACAATGCTTTGTTTCATCTAGCTATCTTGCTATGTACTGTACATTGCCACCACCATCGTCGTAGTCGTCCTCCGTCATCATTCCTACTCGTACTCGTCAGCAGTCGTCAATCTCATCCGTCACACCAACATCCAAAAACACACAACTGCCATCATTGTAAGCATATCCACGATAATGAGGCACCAAAAAAACGCGTATTTGAAATACGTCACCTATTGATGTGCTCATGATGATGGCGCCACAGGTCACAATTTTGATATAAAGTACGACTAGTCATCTTGAGAGTGCCATGTATGTACATTTACGTAACGAATGGTGTAAGCATCAATGATCATTCATCCACGTTGATATCGGTTACTTGGTCATGACGGCAATATTATGGTGCAATAGCAAAGTTGTGCAAGGTAGAAAGCACATTTATTGGATTGTAGCCGTGAATGCAAAAGACAAGTGTGTTACTAGATAATATTGCCAGATGAAGTAGATACGGGTGAATTACATAGAGTCAACGGGTGTCCTTGTGCCATTGTATTCTTGGTTACTGCTGCCATAAACACCTTCATCCATAATTGCAAAAGAGCTGCTGCGTGCATTAACTCACCTGCCAATATCCATCCATGGCTGTAAACACCTTTGGTCAATTCCATCCCATCCATCATCATCCTAAGCCGTATCCACGTGATGTGATCCATCTTTCCTGCTGACGACACCACAAAATATCAAAGAGACATTCCAGGACTTCTCATCACTGCACTTGATCGCATCCTTCCATCCATAACCATTGTAAACCCAATATTGCTGCTGATCTGCTTCCTTTTCCATCCGGCTGTTGGTCCATCCCTTTCCTTGGTCATTTTCCATCACAGCTCATCTAGCTGAAGGTTGCTTGTATTGTGATGTACTTGATATAGCAAGTAACTTGAGACAATGAAATAAAGACCTTGCTAATAGCAACAGCTGCAGCGTTTGGTTGTGGCAGAGTGTGCAAGAACGTGTGTTGTAGTAGAGTGACAAGGTTGTGAACGCTGTTTGAGTCAAGGGAGCAAAGGCCTTGCCCATAGCAATTGCTGGATTGAATGCTGTTACGTTTGATTGTAGCAGGGGAGCATACAAGAGAGTGTGTAGCATCAAGAGAATAGTGTGCTGTAGAAGAGTGACAAGAAGGCTGTGTACACGCCATGCACTTCCATTCAGTCAAAGGCAATCGGATCAAGAGAGTTGTAGTAATGACATGATGGGTTGAAGCAGGGCAATCGTTCGCAGGTGGTAGTTGTATACTTGAATGGGTCAACAGTTGAGAATGGGAGGAAAAGGCAATACGCTAGGAGTGGAAGAAGTGGAAATTAAATAGATCAAACACCTCTTGTATAAATGCATGAACACTGTACATCAAACCTTGATATTGAGATTGCCTCTCTCGAACCTGAAACTTTCACACAAGATGATCTTGGACATGCTGATCCATGTTGTATTAAAAAAGACGTCATGTACATTTGAAAAATTGGAATGGCAGGGTGCAATGTGGGGTTTACTATGAAAGTCGGAAAGAAGGTCAGCCCCAGATTCATGATGTATCGAATTAGTATGTATTACCTTGGGATTCCCCATATCGAACCTGAAAATGATACAGAAGGTACTCTTGGGCATGCTGATCAACTTCATTCAAATAAAATTCGCAGAGTTCATTGTGAAGATTTAAAATGCGGGGAGGTCCAAATGGTGGATGACGGGATCGATCCGGAACAAAAGAGCGGACGGCCCACCGCCCCGAAGTTGCCCACCTCCAACTTGAAAATTGGTCAGCAGGGTGCTCTCGAGCATGCTGATCAATATTTTCTAATAAAAACCTCACGCTTCATTTGAAAATTTGGAATGGGAGCGTCCGCAAGTTTGAAAGACAAAGACATTCGCAGGGTCTGTCTTTCAAGAATTTTCGTGTTTGCTGTTTTGGCGTAGCTCAGTCAAATCAGCTCGGATCAAGAAAGTTGAATGATGGAAATGATCGGCTGGAGCAGGAGAATCGTTCGTATGCATTGGTTTAGGAAACAAAGTTGAATGGGAGGAATGGGCTATTAGCTGCCTGTTTATGGATGTGGGTCGGCTTATTACAAATATGGTATCTTAGTGTAAAGAATACTACGAGATTATAATGTGGCTGCATAAACGTATAAGATCATTACTCCATAGGCAGTGCTTAACAAGGAATGAATAGTTTACGAGCGAAGAGATCAATCGATGTTTATTTGCATTATCAAGGTATGCTCCGAATGATACTATGTCATGTCACTAAACTTGAGCTTCTTGTATATGCATGATGCGAATGTTGATATATGCTTTGATGGTTGTGGACTAAACGTGGATGAATCGCTGAAGATGGCTCCAAAATTGTACATTGTCGTTCTTGTTGATCCTTCCCCATGAGCCGCTTTGATCCCGTCATCGATCCAGGTCTTCTCATATTGGATTTCGAATGCATTCTTGAATACTTTGTCTCTGATCGAATGGTATCTTCTATTGATGAAGGTGCTGGCGGTAGTGATCGGTCGTAGTAAGCATTATCTTGAGATGCTAATATAGTCATGCTGTAACCTAGCAACGTCCATATCAGAGCTGCCACCAAGGATGGATTGCTGCGTAGTGATGATATGTTATTGTTGTTGTCGTTTTCGTTATGCACGATGATATCTCGTTGATATGGTTTTGATGAGGGATGTGTATGATGTTGGGGTGATGATGGAGGTGAAGGTGGAGCAATGTTGGTGGCGTTGGTAACAGCAGCTTCAATAGGTAACGACTTTTCCAAAGAATGCATCTTGTTGTTCTCAGACAATGAATTGGTGTTTTGATGTGATGTATTTGGTGCATTAGGTCCACTGGATGACGATGATGGTGATGATGACGTTCGATTGTCGTCATTGTTCTTCTCTGGTGGTCTCGATGCTGATGATGATCCTCCCTTGTCAAGTCTTCGCATAAGTTCTCTGTTCTTTTCTCGGCACAATGCAAGTTGAAGCTTCAGGTCATCTCTCTCTTTTTGTAACTTGTCAGCATTCGCACGGATAAACGACACCTCAAGATTCAATCGCTCGTTCTCATGCTTTTGGTGTTGCAAATCATTCTCCAATGTAGTAACGTATTCTATATATGAAAACAATGAATTGACCTCTCTCATTGTGTGGATAAAGAATCGCTTGGTTACCTTTCTTACGACTCCTAAACTTTCGTGCGGAGATCTTGTTTCGTAGCTGTCTCCTTTCCTTTGAAGTCATCTTCTTGAGCTCGGATTCTGATGGATGATCATCCTGGTCTTCTTGTTGTCGTTTATCAGATGCCTTTTCATCATGGCCTTGTTGTACATGTTCTTCGGACAAACTTCCCCCACTGTTACTGCTGCCTCTTCCATCAGGACTTGCTGATGACATCGATTGGTTACAAGACGTATTATGAATGGCTGGAATAGTGGTTGATGGTGGCGTATTGAAGGTAGATTGTGTCAGGGCATTCATCGTTAATCCATTCGTTGTTTGCTGTTGAGGAGGAATGACTTGAAGTGGAGATAAAGACATGGCTTGAGGTAAAGGACTATCGAACAAGGCTTGAAAGGAGTTGACGTTTCCAAGAGCTTCATTCACTGGAACATTGTTGACCGGCAAGGTCGTCGTCGTCATGTCCACCATTGGATTCGTCAATAGCCAGTCGAATAGTTGTAGATTGTCGTCATGGTTGTCGTTGTTGCTCATGTGTGAATTTAAATAGAAAAGTGGAGAAGGAAGAGTGGCTGAAACGATCTCCATCGGTTCCCACCTTAATCGGACGTTGCACCAACGCTGCTGCTGCTGCTCTTACATAATACACCGCATGCATAATAACCCTTACCAATCTCGATTTCCTTACGCTGTGATTTGCCATGAAACGATACACCATCGTCTAGATCTAGCACATTTGTTAATACAGTCTTTATCATGAATGAATAATACCATCCACCATGCTTCGGGTGTATAATCTTTTGGGATGCACCAAAATGCGTGCTGTTTGAATCATATATGGGTTGCTAGATGTCGCTATGATAGCGTCATAACATGTGCGCTATTGTCACTCTCTTGGACCGATGGCATCTATCACAACAATAGTCTTCCGGTGGAGTGTTGTATCCTCTTCATCGTTCTTTGTCACCGGCCAAAGTATCATGATACATGTTGTTGTACAATGCTTGAAAAAGGCAACATCGAACATCAACAAAAATGGTGTATCATCCAACCACTTCTTGTAATGTTTATGCATCTAATGCAGCATTCGGCATCCGGATTGTGTCTCATTTTATGCTAAACCCAGTGCTATACTAAAGATAAAACCGACTTCTGAACTCCTAAATCCTTTATAAAGACGAAGGTGATCAACGAGATATCTAGCATCTCTGGGTTCTACTATGTCTTCAGCACAGGATCACAATATTGGCAACCAGACATCAGCCACCATCGAAAAAGGTGCACACGATGAAGCAACTCGGATCACAGGGCCAAGACTCGCACTTGTGATGGTAGCAATTGCTTGCGATATTGTATCATCGATAGCGTTACTAATCTATGCTATGCTCATAGATCAGCTTATTTTTCAGCTTGTTGCTGGTATCCTTGGATCAATCCATTGGTATGTATGCGTGTGTATTATTAAATGCCTACCTTGAGTATGCAACATACAGTAATCTCGCATCATGAATCATTACCTTCATCATCATCCACCAGTCTCCACAGCATTGCCCGTCATTGCATCCACGTTTAAGGCACTTGATGAGGTGGAATGGGTGGGTACGGCATACATCCTCCCCATGACATCATGTCAGCTACTTTTTGGAAAGGTAATAATGCTGGACAACGTTACCCCGCATTCGATTTTGCATTTCTAAAAATTGCCACCATGCCCAGCTTGCAAGCATCTTTGGGCGTAAAGTTGTATTGATCATCTCAATTATCACCTTCCTTATTGGCAGTAAGTACCGTAAAGCGTGATCTTTGGTGTCCTTATTGTTGAGGCTTGCAATAGGTGCTCTTGCTGGAGCAGCACAAAATTTCACAATGTTGTGTGTCACGCGAGGTAAGTAGACCCAATGATATAGCATGATCAAAATGATTGACGTACCTGTGATGGATGAGAAAAGCTATTCAAGGCATTGGAGGTGCTGGTATTGCCCCTTCCGTTATGATGGCGATTAGTGATTTGGTGACGCTTCGTGAACGAGGAAAGTACCAAGTAAGTCATTTCTATCATTATCAAGGATGGTGATGATGATGTTGACTTTTTCAAAATGGCAGAGCATGGTTGCATTATGTTGGGCAACCGGATCCATGGCCGGCCCAGTGGTCGGTGGTGTTTTAGCTGACACGAATTGGCGTTGGATCTTTTTCATCAACCTGCCGATTGGTACGCTTGCCTTGGTGTTACTCTTTGTATTTTTACGTATCCCAAACAACAGCATACATCAAGGTGCATGGTGGAAGCAGCTGAAACGGATTGACTTTGTTGGTGCATCTACCTTTATCGCCAGTGTGGTGTGCTTCTTGTTAGCCACACAATGGGGTGGAGTTCGCTATCCATGGTCGAGTCCCATAGTGATTGCGCTCTTTGTGGTTGCAGTGGTACTCCTTATGATAACGATTTTAGTTTCATGGAAGCTGAGCAGTGAACCAATGCTGGAATTGGACATGTTTTACGACCGTGCACGATCAGCACTCTACATTGCAGTAGTGGCCATTGCTAGTGCCATGTTTGCCAACATTTTTTATTTACCCATCTACTTTCAAGTCGCCAACGGAGATTCACCAATGATAGCAGGAGCCGAGATGTTGTCATTTCTAGTCCCTGTGGATATGGTCAGCGTCATTTCAGGTTTCATCGTATCAATGACAGGGCACTACAAGATCATGTTCCTCCTTGGCACTGCATTTATTGCTATTGGAGGTGGTTTACAAACAATGCTCACAATCGATAGCGGGAGAGCTGCGCAGGTGTGCTATCAAGTAGTCTCTGGTGCAGGTGTTGGGTTTTGTATTCAAAAGTAGGTAAAACTATTTACAGTGTAGCAGCGTGTTTCACAACATCTCATTATGCAATGCTTTTTTTTTGTGTATTGATTGTTATGCAATGCACGTTAGCCTCTTTGTCGCAGCACAAGCATCTGCACCTCCAAACAGGTACGAGTATAGACCATGTAATAGGCAAGCAAACATGCATGCTGATCATTCCATTATAAAGGGTGATGTCTGCCATTGCTTTGGTTTCCTTTTTTGAGTACTTTGGATTTGCATGTGGTATTGCTATGGGAGGTGCCATATTCAACAACACGTTGCAGCACTATTTGAGCAACACTACAACTCTCAACGCGAGCCAAATCAAGGAGGCTCAAAGAAATCCAGAAATGCTCAAGAACATTCGTGATCCAGGCCTTCAAAGGATGGTTGCATCTGCTTTTGCTTCAGCTCTTAAAAAAACATTTCTCGTTCTTGTCGTATGTGGAAGTCTAGCATTTGCATGCTCGCTCTTTTTGCATTGGAAGATCCCACCAACATCCAATGACGATGATGATGCCACTCAAATGGATATGAATGGTGATCCCAACAATCATGAAAAAAGTGCTGGACAACGCCATCCTGCTGCTGATGATGAGGACCAGGAACGATCAGCTTCGGATTAACCCTGCCTTTGGATCGACCCAAAAGTAAATCTTTGATATAATACATGTACATGCATAAGGAACAAGACAAATTGTCAAGGAGATGGGATCAAAAGCTATATATACTTTATTAAATGACAACCCCTCCCTCGTGTAACAGCAATGGGGACATGTGATGAGACACATTTTTAACTCTGTGTGGTGTTTACATTTTCCCTTGCACAAAAACGGCCGCATGAAACGAATACAACGAGCCATCCACAGCCGTATATGATACCGAATGACCAGATCACAAGAGCCGTGCCGCCAATATTTCATATACACAAGGAGATGGAGCTTCTTCTTTGCGAGGAGTCAATATCGGTGAGCAAATCGGATGCGATTAATAATGAGCAATGGAGTAGTAAATCAACAGGGTGCAATGCGGGGAGAGCAAGGAGATACATCTTTACCAGCTTATGGATGCTAGGACAAGGAGAAGGCATAGTCATGGTGAGGGTTCATGTTCATGCTTGCTGTTACAAAAGGAGTGGAAAAAGGTAAATTCGTTCGGGCAATGGCCTCCTTATTATTCCCGACTGCATTACAATGACTGATACAAGGTTTTCAATTGACACTGCTAAGCTTATTATACGGTGCCAAAGTGATGCATGTCACTTGTGGTGCATGCAACAAAAAATTCTTGCTATGGGCAGGTTAATGGAGTGTGGGACAAGATCTTGACCCAGCGGAAAGTCAAGAAATGCTGGACGAGTAACGTAAAGATGAAATGGGACAAATCTTGGGGTCATACGACGATAGAATAGTATGGCACAGCAGCTATAGAACATACACACCCTTTCTATGGGGGTGTTTCCAAGGCAACCCTATTGCTTTATAGGTAGGTTTCAATTTTACCCTCCTTTTCTTTCACTTTCTTTTCCATCAAACACACACTTTTTTACTCGTTAATTCATAATGCCACCCCAATACAAACCACCTTACACTGTACCTGCACCCAACGCACAAGATGTCGAGGGTGAAACGGTTGCCATGCGACACTTTCTCTTCAAGGATAAATTGGTGGATAAGCCTGATGACCTCGAAAAGCAGACAATGTGGGCCATGTATCTCCATGGCAACGAAATTGGCGGAGGTACATAAAAGTGCACTTGCATGTTTATTTGGGTATCTTATTCTTTACATAGATCGGCCTTTCTTGGGAGCAAGGCGGATGGAAGATGGTGTTGCAAAGGAATACGTATGGCAAACTCACAAGCAAGTACGTGAGCGAATCGACAACTTTGCAAAAGGGTTGTCAACGCTTGGCTTGAAACGACAAAGATCATTGGGTATCTACAGTGTGAATCGACCTGAATGGGTAAGTACTTTTTTAGCTGACAGGGGAGGGGGGAGAGAAAAAAGTGGAATGATACTTACATGTGCATGTAGACGATTTCCGAGCTTGCATGCTATCGTCAATCATACATCATTGTGGCTCTTTATGATACCTTGGGTGCTGAAGCTATGGAGTACATCATCAACCAAGTCGACATGGAATTCATTGTTGCAAGCTCCGACAAGGTTGGAAACATTGCTCGGCTCAAGGACAAGTTGCCAACCATCAAGACGGTGATTGCAATGGATGATAAGGTCAAACAAGAGGATAAGGATGCTGCGGCAAAGGCGGGTTTGGTTCTTCACACCTTTCAAGATGTCGAAAAAATTGGTCAAGGTCTTACTGAAGAAGAGCATGCAGGCCCTGAACCTGATGACATTGCAACCATTTGTTATACAAGGTAAAGGATGACAGCGGCATTCAAAGTGCGTTTAATGCTAACATGTGTCGTTTATAGTGGTACAACAGGTGTACCCAAAGGTGCTGTATTAACGCATGCAAACTGCGTTGCACCTATTGCTTCCATTTCTGCTCTTGGTGAAACCGGCAGCTTTGCCAAGGTCAACCACACTGATGTTTACATCTCATACCTACCAATGGCCCATGTCTTTGAGCGTGCTGCTCAAGGCATTCATGTATTTAAAGGAGCCTCTATTGGATACTACCAGGTATGCTCATATCATAGGGATGCGTAATTAACATACTGATGGCCTATCATTATGCAGGGTGATACGCTAAAGCTATTGGATGATATTGCTGTGCTAAGGCCCACTGTATTTTGCTCCGTACCACGTCTTTTCAACAAGATTTACGATAAGGTGCTTTCAGGTGTTAAAGCCAAAGGAGGCGCTAGCAGCTTTTTATTCAATACGGCATTCAACCAAAAGAAAGCCAACTTACACAAGACGGTGCATCATTGGCTTTGGGATAAGGTTGTCTTTGGACAAGTAAGTTATAGTGGCGAGATAAGAGGATGGCTCATGCGTCATGGCACATGTTGGTGGGGGAGGGGGTGATGATGGTGATGATGATGATTGATGACGGCGGATGATAGATCCGAGCCAAACTAGGTGGACGTATCCGATTTATCCTCAGCGGATCGGCACCCGTGTCACCAGATGTCATGGATTTCATGCGTATTTGCTTTTCAGCCCGGGTGTTTGAAGGCTATGGCCAAACTGAAAATTTCTGTGGTGGATGTTTGACAGTGCAAGATGATAATACATCGGGCGTTGTGGGTGTGCCATTCCCTTGTACTGAAATCAAGCTTATTGATGTCCCCGACATGGAATACAAATCCACTGACAAGCCATATCCAAGAGGAGAAATTTGTATGAGGGGTCATTCGGTCATGCAGGAATACTATCAAGTGCCCGATAAAACAGCTGAGACAATTGACAGTGATGGGTGGTTGCGTACCGGTGACATTGGCTTATTTGACAGTGCTGGTCGTCTTCAGATCATTGACCGACGTAAGAACATCTTTAAGCTATCACAGGTAAATCATTGTATACATGCTTTATTGCGTCATGCCATGCTCACATTACGATGCTATGTATGTAAATTCTTCATGTAGGGCGAGTACATTGCACCTGAAAAGATCGAAGGCGTCTACCAAAAGCATGAATTGATTGCACAAGCCTTTGTATACGGCGATTCCCTGCAGCCATCGGTGGTCGGCATTATCGTACCTGACAAGGAGGCGTTGCTGCGTTGGGCATCAAACAAAGATATGTCAGCTGAACAGCTATGTGCATCCGAAGACGTCAAAAAAGAAATCTTGGGTCTTCTGACGACATATGGCAAGCAAAATGACCTCAAGAGTTTTGAGCAAATCAAAGCCTTACACTTGACGATGGATGAGTTCACCGTCGAAAATGATCTCCTGACACCCACTTTCAAGTTGAAGCGTGAAGTAGCCAAAAATGTCTATGGAGAGCAAATCAAGAGCATGTATGAGACCCTATCCAATGGCCGTAGCTTTAATTAAGTAATAGTAGTAATTGCCAAAGACCTATTCAATAATGATAATACATGTGTGTTATGAGAAGAAGGGTGTTAAGAGAAGGGTTTATACTCATGATGATGATGTACATACATGATTGACCCTTAATCTTGTTGATGCAGCAGCGTGGATCACACCGAGACTGATTTTTTTTAAAGTAGGTGATGTCGTGTTTTTCCCCCGGCTCGAAGGCCGGTTTGGCAGAAACTATTTTTATTTTTGGGTTGGGTTATAGCAAAAAAGTAACCTAAATGGTGATGCCGTCGAGCTATCCGGGACAACATTGATGCTGTTGTTTGTGGATAACCCATGAGACAAAACATGTTTTGGGTCGATCCAAAGTAAACAAACAAAGGACACACGAGACTTTGTGTGATCTCGAGTGTGTGAGTGGTGTAGATCGTAGATCGAGTGATCGAACATAAAAGAAATACAGCAGCACGTGCTGCACTCTTTTGATGTAAAAGTCCCCTTGTTTGCACCATACGTGACAGTGCATGTGTAACCTGTGCGCAAGTGTTGCGTGATCTCTCCACCAGCTCCAGCATCCAGAACGTAGATGTACGCTAATGGATACGCATGAATGTGGATCAGGGCATTTTATCACCAAAATGGAAAGACGAACGAGATTATGGTGGTGGTGGATGGATGGCTGCAGCTGCTTTTGTTCCCGACAACCGATATTGCAGAAAGATGATGCGCTGTATATAAAAGGGAGATGGTTGACAATGTCTCCCCCCCCGCCTCCTCCCCATATCTTTTTTACTCCTGTCGATCCCATCCTACATTCATTGTTTCTTTCCTTAGCACACGACAATTTTCCCTTCCTTTTTGTTCTCCATACTACTCCTACGACAATTCCACATTCACAACAGCGCTATGACCCAACTCGATAACAAAATCGAACGAGACCTGCTACGAAAACTTGATAGACGTCTTGTTGCATGGGCTGCCTTGGCATACTTTTCAAATGTGTTGCTACGTAACAACATGCGTAAGTACCCGACATCGTGCGTGTATACATGTGGCAATGATGCTAACGCATAATACATATGCCAATATGAAATGATTAGCACACGCCTTCACCAATGGCATGAACACAGACCTTCATCTAAATTCATCCGCCTACAATTGGGCCAACAGCATGTTCTTTATCAGCTACTCCATGTAAGTATGACCACCATTGTTACCACTTTTTGTCTCCTTCCCGCACAAGCATCTCCTTGTGCATATGCTATTTTTGTCAATGGCTGACATGCTCTCTCTATTGAAATTTCTGCACCATAATACAGATTCCAAATACCGAGCAACGTTGTATTCAGCCAAGTGTTACCGCAATGGTACTTGCCATGTGCTGTAATATTATCAGGACTCCTTAGCAACCTGATGGCGCTTATCACTCATCGACACATCATGCTATTATACGTCGTACGATTTTGTCTAGGACTGGCAGAAGCTGTAAGTGTTGTTTTCCCCAAGCACACACAAAAAAAGATCGCCCAAAATGAGCTATGCATCCAGGGACTCACATGAAGGGATTCAAAAATAGGGGTGCTATCCATGCATCATCTTTCTTATTGGCAGCTGGTACCTCCAAAAGGAGCTTAACATCCGAACTGGGATGATCGTCATTGCGTCCAATCTTGCGAGTGGTGTAAATGGCTTGCTAGGAGGTGCAATTGCATCCAATCTTGAAGACTTGTGGGGCATACGTGGATGGCAGTGGCTGTTCATCATCCAAGGCATGTTTGCTATTTGCATCGGGATCTCTGGATTCTTTTGCTTGCCAAACTATCCTCACAATACACCCTGGATCACACCTGAGGAACGTCAAATTGCACTACGGCGCAAGCCGATGAGTGTCAAATCGCCACTAGAGGAACAAGAAAGCCTATTGTTGGTTAGCGCCAAGACGTGAGTGTTGATTGGTACCTTTATGTTCTGGACATTTCATTTACACATGACCCTTTCCTTCCATATTAGGCTCAAGCACCTAGCAACAACTCCATACTGCTACTTGCTCACAGCCATGTTTGCATGCATTGTGATGGGTGATACAATCATGCACAATTTGACCATTATTTTAAATGGCCGCGGCTATTCATCGGCACATGCAAATTTTATGAGTGTGGGTGTGTTTATGTTTTCTATCTTTCCAAGTCTAGTGCTAGCACGCACATCCGATACACTTCGTCACAAGGGATTGCATGTTTTCTTGGTGTCTTGTTGGTCTGCCATGTGGTACATGTTCTCGGCTCTCGTAGACACACAAGTCATTCTTTTTGGTGCCGCTTACAGTGCAACACTCAATGCCATCTTGATGCCCATCACACTCAACTGGGCGAGTCAAATTTATGCTTGTGATCACGATATGCGCGCCATCATCCTACCAGTCATTGTCACCTTTGGCAATCTTATCCCCTATTTGATTCGTCCATTAACATGGGAGGTCACCGATGCGCCTGACTATGGTAAGCTTTTTCCCGTTTTCATTGTTTATCACTTTATTTGGTTGCTAAATGTTTTGAATCTACTACTACATAGTCAAAGGGAAGTGGTCGTGCGTTGCTGCAGGTCTTGGTGCTGCTTTGTTTTGTGTAATCATTGCACTCCTTCTTCGTCTCAGGATCCTTCTCCCGCAAGATGTTCGCCGTGAACAACAACCCTTACTTGGTAGCTCAAGTCATGCAAGAAGGAAAAGACGCTATCCTCGTTACACAACCGACTACAAGTCTCTTAACATGTAAATCCCCTCCACCTTTTTGTAGTAGTATAGAAAAACTTTGCATATACCCTTCCTTCTCCACATTCCATACATAGCATCCCTCATCTTCATCATTCCTTCTTCATCATCATCATATAAAAAATCCCCATTCAACGACTTTTTGTCGATTTAATTGTTGCCAAAGAAACGAGTCATTACACTGAGATAGTGAGGGGAGATAGTGTCCTTGTCGTTTTGATACATGGTCATCAGGGTACCCGTAGCCAACATAAATAGAGCGACATCGCCAAACGGCAAATTCCTTGCATAGCCGCTCTTGACGAGAATGTTCCACCAAGACTCCAATGCACGTGGAAGACAATACATGCCGAGCTCTAGAACGTACATGTTAGCGTGTGCTATGATCGAACAAAGAAGAGGTAATACAACTAACCGAGTTGTCGTCCAGGAGCTTCTATAAAAGTCATTGCACCTCCCACAGCACCTGGTACAAGGTACATCCATGGTCGTTCCTTTCCAAGTATAGGGCGCATCGCACATGGTGAAGCCAACCCCATGGTTACATACATTGCCAGGAAAATGGTCGACTGCAAACATGATCGAAGAAATTTTCGCAATACCACAGAGGGTCTACATACACACGATGAATCACATGCATTTGTGTGAGTATCAACCCCATTTCCCCACAGCTCTTTTCCAGTAGTCGCTTACTGTGTTACAATTTGACCCGATCTGAACACAGCTGTCATAATCTAAGACCAATCATTCATGAGTAACTTGGCCACCACGAACAATAACATAATCATACATACCACATTCAATGGGAAATACAACTTGAAAGCACGTGCAAATTCCCCTCGGAAGAGATTGATCTTGTCGTGAGTGCAGCTAGCTTCGAGAGGATGCTGTAAAGCACACATGATGTAATGATGTCGAATGCCTGGTGGGATGACAGATGCAATGGAAGGGCTGACATGGGTTGCAATAAATTCACGGCTCGTTGTATTTGGAGGCATGCGAATGGACATTTTGGGATCACTGGCAAAGCCGTTGATCGTCTCACCGATGGATACTGAAAGTGGGGCAGCCATTTTTCCAACATAGGAACGCCAACCAGCATGAGTGAGAAGGAATGAATAGTAAGACTTGGGCATCGTATCTTGATGGAATAACAAAGCATACATGAGCTCTGAACTTGCAAGCATCATCACTCCCACACCAGCCCATCGTTGCATGAATCCAGCGATATGATCATCCCATCCTTTTGCTTGTGGTGGTGGTGGTGGTGTATCATGATCCTTCTTCTTCTCATGGCGGTGAATCGCCCATTGCTTCATAAGCCAAGCACCCGTAAATTGAATACTGCGTGTCAAGAGATATAGCATGATGGATTGTCGTCGTCGTTTGTCTCGATCGATCATGAGCGCCATTCCAGCAATTGCACCAGCGATAAATGAGTTGACACGTTCTGACAATGAACCATGGCGTCGTAATAAACAATTGATCCCTTTGTAGCTTCCAAGGAATGTGCTCAGGAACAAGGCAAACCTCGCTGTATCACTATTCCATATATGAGTGAATGTACATATACATGTATGATGGATGATGATCCTTACCGATCAGCTGCTCGCCATAATATGCTTGGTCTACAGTAGATGGTCGTTTGTCGTCGTCGGAGGGATTAGCGACTTTTTGAAAGATGATCACGTTGCGATGGGATTACCGCTTGAATACTTTGCCCATTAAAAGAGCTGGCAAGATGGCAATCAAGTACTTGACACCGAAACCAACAGCAAACGCCTTGAGGAATCCTCGCGTACAATTCTGACTACAGGTCTTGCCTTCATGCTTGCACTGGTGAGGGGACGCCTTTCCTCCTTGGCTATCTTCACTCGCTTCCATTTGAAGTCTCAAGAGGTTCTGACTACAATTCCACGGTCAAAAAGAAGAGCAATGAAGAAGCAATACAACATTGGGTACCTGCTCATGCGATGCAGCTTGTCCTGGAATGAGCGGATCGACGACAATACGGCTTCCGTTTCCCGGTCCGTCAAGAGCTTGGATACGATGCGTGCAAGTGACTCCAAAAAGTTCTCATAGTAAGAGACCGGTACCCGTACGTCTGCCATTGCATGTGTTGAAAAGGGGAAAAGGAGAAAGAAATGGCGTGGTGTGTGTGTGGGGAAGAAGATAAAGATATGCGTGTACGCTTGTACCACCAGACCTTTGGAGGTTGATTCCGCTGACAAACACTCCTTGGCGTCAATTTTATGCATGAAGTAGAGTGATCGTAAATTATCCATTGTCCTTTATTGAAATACATTATTACTTTTTACCTTTGTTCTACATGCATCAACTTAGCCTTCTGCTAGAATCTCCTTGACCTAACAAGTGTCCTCTTTCAAGTCGCAAGTATGCTAACTTGTTGTATCATCCAAGTCGTTTCAAAGACTAGTTGATCTTTCCTCATCTTCCATCAATAAACATACACATCTGTTCACAAGCATCGTTTTCGCTTCAAGTGCTGTTTCCTCATCCCGAAATGAGTTCATAAGTTGATAATATTGTATGAAGGCATGATGTATTATTACATGATCGTTTACTACAGAGCATTACGTATAATAGGAGGGAATGTTATTGAAAGGGATTATGATTGTACAATGTGTTTATCATTGTCCATGATGATGCGAATGTGGTGGTGAGAAGAATGCTTTTGGGCTCGTTTTCTTGTTGATGCTTGGTTTTGATGTTCCTGCGACAATCGATCTTCTCCTTACGAGGGACTCCAAAGTGGGTGCTTAAAAGAAAAGATCGCTTAGCCTGGATGCGGCGGTACATGATATCCACACAACCGGCAACAATAGGGTCAATCTTTTTATGCAACACCATGATCATCTTCCCATCAGCGGCCTATCATCATAAATCAAGTGCTGCTCACCTGTCCATTTCATTGACAAGAAGGCTCTGTGGTTTCCCTTGCCCCTGGGCGGTATCGCCTCGCATTGTAGGATGGTTCCATACATGCTATTGACACATATCTTGAGAGCATTCTGAATCAAATCCAACCATTGCTGAAGGATCTACATTTACACCGAAAGGCAGCTTCTTCCAAAGATCCAACAAAATACAGGAAGCCGTTGTATCATCACCATGAAGGTTGTGGTGTGCCACCTAATCCAGCTTTGCATACCCCTCTCGGGATGTAACTACATCAAAGGGAATGTGAGTGTGTGCATCCTCAAACAAGACGATTAGCTCTTACCTTATAAGACGAGCCAATACCACAATGACAACAATGGCAATGCAAGTAGGATAACAATGAAGCCTTAACAATCATCCCAAAAAATTAGCACATGGGTCGCTCAAATAAAGAACCTCTCAACAATGATACTCACCAAGGGCTTTGAAGGTGCCAGTAATCAAAGAGTGATATGATGGAAAGAAAGAGATGCATGGGAGACAAGCGATAGGCGACAACATTCATCTTGTTTATATCTGCACGGTTGGCGTGGGTATTTCTGTGACCACAAAGAGTGATAAAATGTCTGTTGGGAATGGTGTGGAGCTGATGGATGGATGGGATGGCTTCACAAAGAGTCTTGGTATGATTGATTGGCGAAAAAATTAAACGACATGGCGGCAATATCCATCATCATCATCAAACAATGCCACCCATGTGCTGCTATCATGAATAGGTTGCTGTGCCCAAATTCCTCGAGATAAGACGTTGCTTCGATGATGTTTATGGGTGCTCCTTCCACAAAGAAAAGTCGAAAATCATCGGCAAACATAGTGCTCAAGCGTAGATGTTACCCGCCATGGGAGTAAACGAGATGAGTCCAAGTGGTAGTTACACAGAATGTTGACAGGTTGCACAAATGGTTAACGTTCTTTTGACCTAGGTTGACTCTCTGTACACAAAGGCCAATGACGATGAAGCTATCAAGCATGGCCATCATATTCCTATATTTGGCGTATGGATCATACTTGTGGTTGTTCAGATTCAGGAGCCGAGCTGCATGTTCACAATGGCGCGGGGATCTGTGTGTGCGCATTAAATCTCCAGGTCGACGAGAACAAAGAAGCGCTCCATCTTTCCCACTCCCCACTTCACAAAGACAAAGTAAGGCTCCCTCCATTCACAACCACAATCCCTTAACGGCTGTCATTCACCTTCAATGCACAACTCCAATAGCCACCATATCAAACGATCGATAGTCAATGGTGCGTCAACTCCAATGGCGATCCTTTCTACTCCCTTGTTCCAGCAAGGCACCCGCGATGTACCCATGACTCTACTTCCCATTCCAATACAAGAAGTATGTTCAAGCACTGCACTTGTTTTATTACTCAAGCTGGTTGTTCTGATACTAAAGTTTCATTTGCAGGTTGCTGTTCTCTCTAGGCCGTATGTGCATATGGATTCTTCCTCTATGTCTACGAGGAAGCCCAACACCTCGTTATCTTTGTCACTTCTGGGTACGTTGAAAGGAAATTGGATGGATGGGTAAACTTGTGCTCTTACATGGTGTCTATTATTATAGGGCGGCAACGTTGGATGGGAGCAACAAGGCATTGATATCAAAAGAAAGTTGTTCATTGCCTCGCTGGTACGTATACATTGGATCTACGTTACAATCAACAATTCTTATAATGACACAGAGGCAGGGCTAATGAAGATGTGATTACTTCGTTCATTTCTGGTGGTGCTACAAATGTCGTTTCTATGGCTCCAAGACACCTACTATCGTTTCCAAGGCAACCATTGTATCGTGGCGGTGATCAGTTTGATTCCATGTGTTGGTCGTCATAAGGATGTTGGGGGTAAGCACGGCAATGGAACAATGGCAACGCGTTGATTGTGTAAATAACAATGGATTGGATACAGCCTTCAAGTTACATCGCTACTTTTTAGCTAGCAGCGTGCAAGTTGGACGTACATTGTCATCATCACCCTCATCTTTTTCGATCCAAGCCCCAGACCGCATCCATGGATTTCGATTTCTGCATTATTCTTATCCAGTGGCTCATGTCGTGCTCTCTCATTGGAAGGCGTCAGCTCAACATTGCTTGCACATGGTGATCTTGGATATGTAAGGGTATAGCACATTGGCATCGTTTCTTCAACAGATTATGTTAACAAGTTTCTTCAAAGACAAGCAGTACACTCGTTGTGAGATTCTCGGTGGTGTCTTGGTCCAGTGTGTGCTGATCCCTTCACCTGTGCATTGCTATGCAACAACTATCTCTTCACGATCCTCTTCTCTTTCTTGGATAATACCCACATTGGCTGTAACTTGGATATGGTGTGACAAACGTGCTCCCGTTTCCGATCTGAACCCATGGCATCTTGATCTACTGGTGAGTACACGATGAATTGACAAGAAAAAGCGATATCGAGATGTAACCAATGATGATAGATTGAAGATCCAGTGGGAGATGGCGTCCACTATTGGCAGTGTGCTGCAGCTGTGACACCCAAACTTATCACTATCAATGCGAAGGTCACATGCAAGCGTATCTTTTCTCTCCTCGATTATACTATAAGCACAACTCAGCACGTATCGGTGCTATCCTCCGGATACAATTGGCAGCAGCAAACTTCTAACACCAACAAGCATCCCAAAATATGGTGATGGAAAAACGCTCCTCCAATCAAGAAAGTAGGTACCAAAAGAACAGTGAAGATCAAAGATCATATAGCTCATCATTGGCTCTTCTCATTTTCAGGTTTTATATGACAACGTGGCGATATCCAGGTAATGAAATGATGTGCGTGTGTGTTTGAAGAAGACTTTTAATCATGACATTTCATAGACAAATACCAAATTCCATGACAAGAGCGTCGTGTAACCAAGACACGGTCGATGAGCAACATTGCAGGAAATTGTGATGGTGGCACTAGGACTGCTGCATTTAAATAGTCACCGCTTTGCAGCTGCACCATTTCTTTCGCCTCTTCCCCCCTTTCTTTTTGCCCCTGGTGTGCAGTAACTAAGGCCCAGCATGTCAAACGCCGTTCCGGATACCGCGTATTGTTATTTACATCGACGCCCTGCAACGCGTGAACCACATTCTTCTGGTGAACCAGCCACACGGGATAGCGCCATCGATGTTGATCATTCATACAACATGTGGAAAAAGGCGCTGAGTCATCTTGCTCACGACGCTACTACTGCCACAACGGGTCATCGTTGGCACCGTCATTCTCGTCAACAAGTGGATGATCAAGAAGATGATCAACTACCATCAACAGCGGATCTTGAGCGTATGGAACAAGAACATCCTGAGGAAGAAGATAATTTCTTTGCACACCCGTTCCCACAAGAAATGCCGATGCCGATGCCAGTGGCTGCAGCACCAGCCATGGCACCCATGCCACGCGCCAAGTTTGCCCATATTTCTGTACCTGAGGATGAATCTTCCAATGATACGGCTCCACCACAAGTAGAAGAAGGCGAAGCTTCAGGTGATGGACAAGAAGCACGTAATCACTGGGGGAAAATGGTTGACAAGATCAAGTTGATATCCAATATCCAAACGTTTTCGGGTCGTGAAACGGTCACCACATCGATTGCGCCTTATTATTCACCTCTTTTTGAGCCTGCCTTTATCGCATTTACCAAGGATGAATATGGTCGTCGAATGGTAAGTTGCTCTTTTGGGATATATGTGTGTGTGTGTGCTATGCTGTATGTCAGCTGACAATTCGCTTATATTTAGCCTCCCATCATGCCTCCGATGATTTCGGTATGGAAGCTCTCCCCTTTCTGTTGTACGCGTTTTTTGGTTGACACAATGTTTTACAAAACAGGTTTCCGTGACAGATTCCGAGTACATTAGCAGCCTTAGTCAATGGGTGTTTCGAGTCGAGTTGCAGTATGGCGATATCAAATGGGTCATCAAACGCACCATTTCCGATTTTGTGACATTGCACTACACGCTCAAGCTCAAATCAAGCGTATCTGATTATGTACCAGCACCACCCGCTTTTCCGGATGCATTGGCTAGTTTGTTCAACTCGGCAAAAACCAATCTCGGCTTAGACCGCCTCGAAGATGAAGTGCCTGAAGAAAATGAGGATGAGGAGGATGCGGAGCGTAAAAAAGAAGCGGCGCTTTCACGTCGTGTTGCATTGACAGAGTACTTGCGTGATCTCGTGGATAGAGCACACATGCTTGTCAGCTATGATGTGTGCGAGTTTTTCGAATTGTCGGCTGTCAGTATTGTGCAAGATATGGGCTGGAAAGGAAAAGAAGGCTTCCTGGAAAACCGGGTGCGTATCTCCAATCCCAACATGTGCCATTTGTGGAAGACGGACCGGTGGAACAAGGAATGGGTGTTGTTGCGAGATTCGTAAGTAACACACATACACGTTATATATATGATGAACACCCCATCTCATGCCATTGTATAGTTATGTTGCCTTTTGTGACGATATTGCATCACCCACGCCATCTGACGTCTTGTTGCTTGACAACACTTTCACCGTGAAACTATCCGAGCCGGGTCTTTTTAGAAGCCATCATATGACCTTGTCAACACGATATCGTGAAATCGAAATCAAGGGCAGCCAACGCGAGGTTGAGGAATGGATGGAAAGTATCGAAAAGGTGAAACAAGATAGCCCCTGGATCAAGAAGCATCGTTTTGGATCATTTGCACCTATTCGCCACAATGCCAAGGTTAAGTGGTTTGTGGATGGTGAAAGTAAGTAACAACACAACCTTCATTTGGTGGATCATGGTCACTGACAGGGATTGCATGATAGATCATTTCAATGCCGTTGCTGAAGCAATTTTGGCTGCCAAGACCGAGATTTACATTACGGATTGGTGGTTGACGCCCGAATTGGTAAAAGAAGTCATCATAGCAACAGGTCGGACCAATGCACTAATGCATCTGATTATCTTTTAGTACCTCCGTCGCCCACCAGAAAAGAATGAAGAATTTCGCATTGATCGATTACTCAAACGAAAGGCCGAGGAAGGCGTCAAGGTGTATATCATTGTTTACAAGGAGATGTCTTTGGCTTTGACAATCGATTCAGCACATACCAAACAATGGCTTCAAAGTCAACATGAAAACATCATAGGTAAAACGATTGTGATTTTGAAAGGGGATGTTGCACAGGATGGTTAAACGGGAGCAATTTGGTATCAATTATAGTGCAGCGCCATCCGGATAGACGACCTTTTGATAGCCGTGATTCCATTCTTTTCTGGTCTCATCATGAGGTATGTTCAAGGAAAGGTATTATCGTTGCAAGTAGCTAACATCCGATCAGAAAATTGTCGTTGTCGATAATCGTTTAGCTTTTATTGGAGGAGTTGACCTGTGCTTTGGGTAAGTGTAACACACACTCCGAATGTGGATGTTTGCATGATTTAACACACATGGCATGTTGCTCTTCTTTTTAGTCGTTACGATACCCATGCCCATCGTCATGCCGATTACCCGGCAAAAGGACATCAATACAAAATCTTCCCCGGTCAAGATTATTCGAGTCCACGTGTTAAGGATTTTGCTGATGGTATGCAGGAAGAAGAACATTTGCGCACGCAGCACGATTGTATGCTGATACCTCTATGTAGTTGCTGCCAAGCATGATACCACCCTTGTCGACCGAGAAGAGACACCAAGAATGCCATGGCATGATTTGTCATGCGCTGTGGTATGTATAAGCTTTACTAGGATCTCTTTTTTCCAATTCCATTGATATGCTTTAACAGGTCGGTCCAATTGCACGTGATGCTGCACGCTTGTTCATTGAGCGATGGAATTATCTCAAGAGTACCAAGAGCATGCATCGTCCCGCTGTTCCTTTCCTCATGCCAAAGGGTGAATATGTGGCTGCACGTGATGAAAGCAAATTCCAAGGCAAATGCCGTGTCCAATTGCTGCGAAGCGCTTCTAGCTGGAGTTCGGGAATTACGCGAGAGGTATGTACACATGGATAGATGATGAGGATGGTACATAGGCTCATTTTTTATCATAGCATTCCATTTACAATGCTTACATGGAAGCCATCACTCAAGCCAAGCACTTTATTTACATTGAAAACCAGTTTTTCAGTAAGTCAATATGGGATTGTGTGTTGCCAACGATATCTCACGAGTATGACAGTTAGCTCCACTGGTGATGACAAGATTGTTCACAACAAGATTGGCCAAGCTATTCTGAATCGTATCAAGCGTGCCCATTACAACAATGAAAAATTCAAGGTCTTTATCATCATTCCCCTTATTCCAGCATTTGAGGGTGACCTGACATCCGGTGACTCAATGGCAGCAAGGTAAATTTGAACAAAGATGATGCCTAAAGGGGTTCATTCATTCATTGATGGTTGCATTATGTAGAGGTGTGATGCATTTCCAATATGTCTCCATATCCCGTGGCGGTGAATCCATTTGCGAAAAGTTACGGGAGGAAGGTATCGAGCCATCGGATTACATTGGATGGTACAGCTTGCGCAATTGGGATAAAATTGTACCAAGATTCCCCAAGAAAAAGACAAACGGCCATGTACCAGCAGAGAACAATGATCAACAAGAAGACTTGTCAACCATGTCGGATGATGAAAAGGATGTGCACGCTGAACCTCCCACTGAAGAAGAGCACGACGATCGTGATTATTATGTGAGCGAGCTCGTTTACATTCATGGTATGTGTGGGATGAATGAAAGGGTGTCATATAGATATAGGAGTTAACATTCAAGATAGACAAGTTGATGATTGTGGATGATCGTATTGTTATTATTGGCTCTGGTAAGCTCTTAAACATGGGACATGGAAAGCATCATGTACGCTAACGTTTATTTTTCATTGTCTTTTTCTAGCCAATATCAATGACAGGTAAGGAAGGAGCTGCATTTACTTTTTTTTTCTTGGTTACTTATGGCCATTTTACAGATCCATGTTGGGTAATCGTGATTCAGAAGTTGCCATCTTTATTGAGGACAAGGAAATGATCCCATCGTATTTGAATGGCGAATTGGTAAATCTTACATGGGAGGATTGATTCATAGTTGCTAACTTTTGAAACTTGCTTGATAGTACCAAGCTTCCAAATTTGCTCACACACTTCGCATGCAGCTTTGGAAAGAGCATCTTGGCTTGCTTGACTTTAATGACTGGGACGCCTTGATGGATGGAGACAATCACGACGTGTTGCAAACGTGTACCTCGGAAGGACTTGGCTATAACAGCAGCGCGTCAGGAGCATGCAATGATGTTGAAGGAAACACGGCCGTGACGGAAGATTTGGATATCAAGAATTGTGAGGCGGGTGAAGCTGTACGTATTCTTGATCGTGTAAGCCGTACCAAGAGTATTTATGATCGCTTTGGACATGGGCCAAGAGGACACCATCTTAAGGAAGCTGCTGCACTTGATCCATTGTCTGATCGTGGCTACTACAACATTTGGCGAAAGACAGCACGCAGCAACACTGAAATTTATCGTGATCTCTTCCGTTGTGTGCCTGATGACACGGTGCATACCTTTGATGAACATCATGCGTTTGTTTCCAAAGCACCTTATGGCCATGTTGCTGATCCTGATCGATCTGCCAGCGATATTGAAGAAAAGCTCTCTGTTGTGCGTGGACATTTGGTGGAATTCCCGATCGACTATCTTAAGGATGAATCGCTTATGAGCGCAGTGGAATCAATGGCACCCATGGTTCTCTTTACATAATCCCCCTCTTTATTTCCGAGCAATACCATAGAGATCATCTGACGAGATAGCTTTCAAATCAAATCCCTTCAATCTATCCTTTCCTTCTAACTTTTCCAGGACCTGGGTCTTGTTCTTGATTGTTGCACGTGCAGTATCAATCTTTTCTGATAACTCATTTTGTTCTATCATTCATATCACCGTCAATATCAATCAATGTATATCAAATATCATCCTATCTTATTTACTCACCTCGTTCAATGTGTGTCTTGGCATCCTCCACTGGTAACTTTATAAACATATTGCCCATGTTGATCCATGCTTTCTTGTCTAGTACGATAGGCGGGTTATCATCATCAGCTTGTTGTCCTGCCCAATCCCCAAAGTATCCCTGTTCAACTTGCCGCTACGCAAATTCTTGAACTGCCTCAAGCCTTCTCGATTGCTGTTGCGTCGTCGATCGTAGTCAATCACCTATCAGGTTGTTGTCGATAAGCATGGGCTTGGTTACATAGCAAAAAGAATACGGTGCATACAGCTTGTTTGTTGGTCAAGATCTCGTCGGCGATCCGCTCTCGTTCGGCAAAGGCTACTCGAGGTGTCAAAGGCTCGATGTTGTTGCGTCTTCCAATCTCCAATTACCTTGTTCTAGTTGGCTAGCAAGATCCATTGGTGTGTGTATGTGTATGTAAGATAGCTTTTGAAAGAAGAGGAATAAAAAGGACAGCTGAGAAACAAGAAGTCCAGCAGATTGCAATGCGTAGTAGTTGTGTTCACAGTGGGTCGTGTTACCTAGGATACGACGTTTCTTTTGGTGCACAGGATTATGGTGGATGGTGTTCAATGCTTTTACAGACGATTGGGAACGATCCTTTCAAAATAAGGATATCTTATAAGGGCTTGTAGCTTAATGATTACCATCCGAGATATCATGCTTCTTATTGCACTCACTCGGTCACGTCAATGTGGCATTCACTGTAGATACCTGCCATTGAATGCCACCACAGCTTCCGTATCTCATACAATGACCACTTAAGCTAGCAGTGTCACCTTTGTTGTAAACTTTATTGATTCCAATCCTGTACTTTTACATCCAATAAGAGTAACAATGAGGGGGGGTTGATTCATAGGAAGGTGGGTAGCAACGTGCCAATGCATAAATTCGGTCGCCCCAAATTGGTTCAGCCTATGGACTTCTTCCCGCAGGCGTATATTTCACTCCATGTCGTCACTGCAAAAGGAACTGTTCAAGAAACGAAATGCCGCCGAGGAAACGAATGAGCAAAACGAAAATGACGATTTAGCACCCCTTCAAAGGTAAAGTTTAGAGTCCCTTGTTCGATGGCACCATGTATTCACTCACTTTGCCATGTAGCCCTTCATTGTTCAAACGTGGTCAACCTTCAGCCAAGTATGCGCCTGTTTCTTGGGACAAGTACTTTGACACCTATCAAGATGTTGCCATACCCGGTACATCCGATATATCCTTTCTCGCATGTTCATGAAAGCCTTCTCTGGTTATGCACAATGTCATCCTTAACAGCTTATCTACGTCTTTCGTGTCTATAGAATCAATGGATCAGCCAATGCCAATACCCCTGTGTTTATCTTCCATCATGGTGCCGGCCATAGTGCTCTCTCGTTTGCATTGACAGCCAGCCACATTAGGGAAATGACTGATGGAGAATGCTCGATTGTTGCCTTGGATGCACGTGGACATGGTATATTGAAACCTACTACTACTACTACTACATCTATTGTATCCTGACAACGGCATGCCTATCTTAGGTGATACGCAAACAAGCAATGATACCGATTACTCGCTCAATACGCTCAGCGACGACCTCGTGAATGTTATTCAGGCTTTGTACAATGGCCAAGAGACAACACCGGATCTGTGCTTGGTTGGTCACAGGTAAATTGGATGTTTATGGAGAAGGGATCAAGGGCTAAGCGAGAATTGTTGTCCTAGTATGGGTGGATCGGTCGTCGTTGATGTCGCATCACGTAAGCGATTAAAGAACGTGGTCGGTGTATGCGTATTGGATGTGGTAGAAGGTAAGTGGGATATGCGTAAAAGCAAGCAATGTATTGATTTCGTGATAAGGTTCGGCGATGGATGCGCTTTCTTCCATGACAAGCATATTGAACACTCGGCCTCAACGCTTTAAGAATATTGAACAAGCAATACAATGGAGGTAATGAATCCATATGCAAGAGAAGGGAATAGGATGTGCTGATCCTTCTTTTAATTAGCGTGAGATCCAATACAGTAAGGAATTTGGAGTCGGCAAAGGTATCAGTGCCACCGCTTGTAAGGTCAACCGACGACAATGCTTTGGGATGGAGAACCGATTTGATCAAAACCAAACCTTTTTGGACAGGTGAGAGCGACATGGAATGATGCAAAAAGGTGTTCTTCATTAACGAATGAATCTATAGAATGGTTTACTGATCTTTCCAGCAAATTTTTGGCTTGTCCAGCTGCCAAGTTGCTTATCCTTGCAGGTAAAAGATATGACGACGTATGCAACAAATGATCCATTGTTCATTCTTTTCCTTTCCTATAGGCACCGATAGATTAGACAAGCCATTGATGATTGGGCAAATGCAAGGTAAGAGGAAGGATGGTGTGGTGCGTCATGTAAAGAGAGAATGTGTGCACTCAAATATCAATGGCAGGCAAATTCCAACTACACATCATCCCCGAAGCAGGTCACTTTTTACAAGAAGATGCCCCCGTAAATACAGCACGAAGCCTCGTAGAGTTCTGGAGACGTAACAAACGACTCGTACTTCCCCCCAAAGTGCAAATAAAATAGAGATTGTCATTTTCTTTAAAGTCAATTACTATATGTGACGAGACAGGTCGACTGCGTCTCAAAGACACGAGTCTCGATACAGTCGGTTTTAGTCGTCTTGTGTTTGTCTCGAAATCCTGTCTGGGCGCACGTTCAGATCTTTAACAGCCAAACGGCACAATTCGGGATCTCTTGAAAAAAATTTCGTGATAAGAAAAAACACAAAACCTGCAAAGGCTGCAGGGCTATTTAACCTTTTTTCAATGGGTGTCAGTCACGCAAGAACATGATCCCCGCTATACTCCGTTCATTTTAATCCCCACTCTCTCTGCTGCAATACATATAGGATCATTCAAACAACAAAATAGGGTCGCTTTATAGAAATTGTCGTCGATGCAAAAAGCTCAATAAATCGTATTTCGTAGCTACACCAAGGCACCACTTTCGATTGACGTCCGTAACCATAGCAAATGAGTTCTTTTCAAAGAATTTGGCTATTGAGAATAGTTAGCACTGTGATCCCTATCATACACAACCAATGGTACAACTTACCAAGATCCGCCAAGCTGGTATCAGGGGTAATCAATTGATACTTTAATGTACCAGTGGCCTTCTTGAAGGTGAACATGCAATCCTGTACTGCTGTCTTGGGTTGAATGACACCTTGATCCAATCGTTCTTGAAGCGTCGTCAATGATACGTATCCAACCAATTTCTTGTTGTCAGTGCGAATGACCGGTAGTTGAGAGAATTCACGTTCCAACATGAGATCCAATGCATAGGATACGGTTGCCGTGGGAGGAATGGTTACTGCTGCTGGAAGCTGTAGATCTTCAACACTTGCCTATAACCAGTACATTCTTAAGATCCCCATTCTCAACCACTTCCAAAATGACTTACTGCACGGTAGCGATCCGTAGAGAGGAATTCGAGTTCTTGAGTCATCACATCATCAGCCAAGTTGTTCTCCAAAAGCCAATCATCATTCAACAAGGTGGATCCATAATTCTTGGCCGTATCATTCAAAATGACCACTGAGCGATATTCATGCGTAGTGTGTTGGGAGAGCGTAGTTGCATGTTGAATGGCAGCTGCAACCACAGCACCCGATGATGGTCCTAATCATTGTTGTTCATAAGCGATCACGAAGTTCCAATATCCAATGTTGTCCAAAACTTACCACAAAAGATGCCATCACCACGGATAAGACGACGAGCAGTAGAGAATGCATCCTTGTCAGATATCTTGAACCAGCCATCTACCTTGGATCGGTCTAAGGACTTTGGTACAAAGTTGCTTCCTAAATCTTCAATCTTCCAATCCTATATGCGTTGCATGAGTACATACTTGTGTTTCATGCCTTCCTATAGCTTACCGTGCGACCATGTTCAATACTTCCAACAGCCAAAACTGAATCGGTAGGATCCACACCAAAGACCTAATATGGATGTTATCAACACATTGCATCATCCCACCACCCATGATGGCGGATAAACATACCTGAAGTTCAGGGATCTTGGCCTTTAATGCCGTTGCAAGCTGAGTGATCATAAGACCGGATTCGACGCCAACAAACAAGTGATCCAGTCTCATTTGTGTTTGCTGCATAATCTCCTCTGCCAACTCGTCGTAATAGATTCCTTCCAACTTGGTCTAATCCATAACCAATGAACAAATGTATCTTGACATACACATTTCCTTTTCAATACCTCTTCAATAACACGTGAATTGGGTAATTGTTCCTTCAACTTGGATGCAACAGAGAAAGCGCTTTCGGGAGCATCTGGTCGTGCTTCGGTTGGTGAACGCATGATCTCAGCACCAAGAGCTTTGAGCATTTGAATACGATCAATGGAAGTCTTTTCTGGAACAACGACAATGACACGGTGGGTCTTTGCAGCAGCGGCAGCAACAGCGATACCCAAGTTGCCGGAAGTGGGGATGATCAATGTATCGACTTTGCCAAGGTCTACGATGTTCCCTTGTTTAACACAACCAGTGCCTTCTTCCTCATACATGTATTCATAAATACCTTTCATTATCTTGTGAGCGACACGATCCTTGTGGCTTCCAGTGGGGTTGGCGAGTTCAAGTTTTGCAAGTAGTTGGACTAAAGGGAGAGCGATTGTTAGACGACTAGCATGATGCCAAGAAGCACATTGATAAACCTACCTTGGTTGTGAGGAGACAATCTCACCATGGGAGTCAAGCCGACATGGGTGGTAATGCTGTCTGCAATGGGTGGAGGTTGAGGATCGAGTGGCATGTTTAGCGGTGGAGGGATAAAAGGTGTGGAACAAGGATCGGGTTTTGACACGCGCGGAATGGAGATGGTCTATGCAAGGTCTCAGCCAATCCAATTGCCAGCTACACATCAACCATCAGTAACATCAATGCAATAACTCGGGTCTTGATAATGGTTAAAGTGGTTTTCATACGCACATGTAAGTGGCGGCAACAAAAGCAAGTACATGTCTATCAAGGCTGATTCACCACCATGAACACAATGAAACAAGCTTACAAGAAGGTGTAATAACATCAATGCCTTTCTCATCTCCTTGGATACCGATACTGGAACAATGATTTATACGTGTCATTTGATAAAAGATTTGAGAGTTCAGTGTACAAACACCCTTTGATTCCAAGCACCATCACAAAAAACTGCAGTGATATCATAGCGGGGGGTAACCATGTGACACCAATGAACAAGCATGGAGATCACAGTAGCACATCACGGGAGTAAGGAGCAACGGATCACGGGGTGGTGAATTGGATAATATGGATCATTTGGATAATGCACATGGCCAAATCATGCAGCAGCAGCAGCAGTAATTGATCTCTTTTCTCTCTCTCTCTCTTTTTTTACTCTCCTTCCCTTTTTTCCTCTTTATTGAACAAAGTCTCTTTTACCACAACCTAAACCTCCGATTACAAATGACCAACAGCATGCGATCCCGATTCAAAGATGAGCACTCGTTTGGTATGTCATTCTTGAAGAAAAAAAAAGAGACGAGCACTAAATACGATTGGTATTCTTCAAGAGAAACGCAAAGCAGAAGCCGATCGTATACGAGACAAGTATCCAGATCGTATCCCAGTGATTTGCGAAAAGGTCGACAAGAGCGATATCCCCACCGTTGACAAGAAAAAGTACCTCGTACCAGCCGATCTCACAGTTGGACAATTCGTCTATGTCATTCGAAAGCGGATCAAGCTCAACCCTGAAAAGGCCATCTTTATCTTTGTTAATCAAGTATTGCCTCCCACTGCTGGTACGTTTCTCTCATGAAGATGATGATGATCGACACTCTGACATGTCTTTTTCCAGCTCTGATGAGTGCCATATACGAAGAACACAAGGATGAGGATGGATTTTTATACATTGCGTAAGTCCCCAAAATGAACCCCCTCCACAATGGATGGGTGATGTTGAACATTTGACATGATAGGTACTCTGGTGAAAACACGTTCGGATCAAGTTCGATGTTGTAGTAGAAATTGGAAAATGTTGTCGTTATCCTCAACTTTATATCAAGCAAATACACACATATACAAAGCGTAAAAGGGTTGTAGTACGTTTGTTGTTCGCTTAGATGTTGAGCTTGGTGTGACGCCAGTTGCGGCGCTTGGCGTTCCAGCTAAAAGAATAGATATGAGTGAGTGGGATAGGGCCTTGGAAGGAGTGTCTATGCATAGTATATCTTTACCGGATCTTGGTATCAGCCTTCATACGGAACCAGTGAGGAAGAGGGCGGTTTTGCTTTTGCTTCTTGGCGAGCTTAACCTTGGTGCGGAACGACTTGTTGGAAGGCTATACGCAATGAACGTCAATTGACATGATGTCGTTTATCGTTTCGATAGCCGAGCATCATCAACATCCATCCATCCATCCATCCGTCATTATCTGCTGCTGCTTTTTCGTTCATCCATCCGTCATAATTGTTGTAAATTCGTAATGGTGGTGGTGGTTCTTTGTGGCGAAGATGATACTCGGCAATGATCTTATATGATAGCTTACCATTGCAAATCGGTCAATGGGGAAAGAGGGAGACCACTGGCTACACCAGGCCAAGCGCTTATTGGCAGCGGCACAAGAAATCAAAATCTCGCTCTCGCTCTCTCTCTCTCATAACCAGCAGCTTCGGCCCATCACCTGCACCACACCTCTCTTTTCTTATTCATCTTCATGTACATGTAATTTATTGACTACCAATCAAGATTTCAATAAAAAAGAGATCCAAGTCAATTTACGCTTCACTATCATCCAATTGCATTCATCGTTATGGTACTAAACTCATCTTGTTGATGGCTGCTTGCAGTCGCGTGACCATCCTCATCGTCATCATTGCAGCATTCTCATATCCGAGAAGGGGAAGGATCTCCCTAAAACAACCTAGCGTCAACCTTACTTGCAATAAACAAAATCAATCAACAACAGCACACTTGAAATGCCAGATCATGGCAAAAAAGTTGTGTATGAATACGAGCCCCATCAACTTTATATGGTAGTTGCTATGACATCGCCACGGTTGCCAAGGATACCAACGTCGTGGATACCACCCTTCAAAGCCTCATTATCCGATGACACGTGGTCATTCTTGGTTGTGTTCTCAGCCGTGCCCTTTTTCATTTGCATATAGATGTTCCTCAGCAACGTCCGATGTTGCATGATCTGCCATGTCCGGCGACTCGCTTCTCATTATGTTTCAAGGAGAAAGTGCGGCAAGGGGGCATTTGTATGATAACCGTACGAGCATAGCATTTTGTCTTTTTGTGCAATCCAATGGGCAATGTAATGTACAACAAAAAAAAGTAGCAGCTGACTGAAATCATGTCATTGTTCTTCTCCTGGATGCAAGATCTAGCCGATGTAAGCCGTCATCATCATCGGATGATGAAGTTGTTGGTCCATAGCAAAATCAAAATCCATAATAGGATCATGGCTTTTTGGCAAGCATTTATGTAGTAAATTGTAGCAGTAGTAGTAGGACAAGGATTAGTTGCTGCATGCAATAACTTGTCTTATGCCAAGCCAAAAGGGAAAATAGGATGCGGTCTCGTTCTCTCCTTTTGCCTAATTTTGGCTAATCCTAAATTGGCGCATCCGAAATGCCGCTTATAAAAAGCGTCCACAGAATCAATCATCGCCAAACCATTACTCTTTTACTACTCATAAACATGTCTCCCAGGTACTGTACATTGGCTATCAAAGAGAGCTGTGTGTGCGTGTCGATCGTATAGGCTAACATGTAAGCATGCAGCCAACAAGAACAACAGCAACAAATGCCCGCCGTTGCCAACGCTTACCCTACCACCCAAACCATGTCCCTCCAAAACGAGCAAACCAAGAAGGAAGAAGAAGGTATGTATGCGTATGCTTGATCCTCTTTGATTGGAATTGTCCTTGTAACATACTCTTTCTTGTCAATGTAGTTGAGCCCTCCACCTCTTCCTTGCTCAGGTAAATAGGCTAGATCAAATGTTGTAGCTCATGGATCAGGTTATTAACATGGCGCCCTTTGGAAACATTAGACTTCGTGGTGGTGGTTGTGTCAAGGACTGCCTTGCTACCATTTGCTTCTGCTGCGCTCTTGAAGCTATTTGCTGGTAGGTGTCATATACATGGGTGAATGGGTTGAATTCGTGAACCATATGCTAACAATTTTGCTACTCTAATTATAGCTGTAAGTTGACGATAGAAATTGCATCCAAGCTGCAACACTTTTCCATCGTCCCACATTCAACTAATCGACGTTTTCTTTTTTTCTACTATAGGCGAGATCGACGAGATTTGCTGCTAAAGTGCCTGCATGTGCCATTGGCACACCATGATGAAACATTACGGAATAAAGTGTACCCATTATTTTGCCTATTAGCCTTCTATGTACGTTGCACCAAAGTGAAAAAAGTACCATATTTGCACAAAACACCTGATATGGGTAGCCCCTCTCCCCTTTCTTTATTCTGCATGACGTTTTGTCCGACATTATGGTTCCATGTCATTCGACCAAAGTGTGTATGTGTATGTATGTAAATATCTCTCTCGTAGCACATGCATGACGTATCAGTGGATACATCACAAGAGATAGATCCATTTACTTTCAACTTGGGCCAACCAGCATATGCAACTTGTATTAAAATAAAACTGCTGCAGTACAATGATCAACGAATTTTATCCCGCAAGAGTCAAATTTACCTCTAAACGGCAACGGGGCACCTGCAATGTCTCGGTTTAATCAAGCCACCATGGATGTGCCACTGCCAAGACTCCAACCCAGATGCCTGGCCTAATAATGTTATTGTGGCGGAAATCAATTCAACCTGGGTTCGCCTATTCTAAAAACACGCACATCCATAATCAGCGCTATAATGATATTCAGGTACACAGATCTAGAACATGTTTGGCCCTAATATACAGCTCTCCGCGCACGCATTTATTTTGTTCCAGATTCAATTGAAAAGAATTGGTACAGCCAAAGTGTGAAAAATGAGGACAGCTTTTGGATGGGAAAAAGTGTCACAAGTGTTGATCACCCAAACGCAGCATGCAAACGCCTGGTGTATTCAAAAAGTCAACAATTACAAAAAGAAAGCCTTTCGGAGCTGGGTCATAGTTACGCCGAAGTGACAATCCTGCACGCTCTTCTTGCATAAATCTTTGATCTTTTTGTATCATGCCAAATCGCCATGCATAAAGGTAGCATGTACCAGAATACGCTTTTGTATGCATTTGTTCATTTCAATGTGTGCTGATACCCATAGGCACTACGTCACCTGGGATCCATCAAAAAAGCAAGGAGATGCTGAAATCCGATTGGAAGATGACCAACGGACAAATAAAACAAAAGATTCGTGTATTCATTTTCATTCACTCTTTCTCTTTTCCCTTTTAACTTTCCCTTTACAACAATGACCATAGATCTCATATATGAACCAGCAAAAGTGGATGATCTTGACGAAATCACTGCCTTAGAAACAGCATCGTATCACCCTGATGAAGCAGCCTCTCGTGAACAACTTGCCAACCGTATCCAATACGCCCTTACATCCGATGTCAACTTATTCATGGTTGCGCGTCGCTCACCCGATCGTGAGCTTGTTGGCTATGTTTGCAATACACTTTCAAAGGACCCACTTGTCACTGATGAATCCATGAAAACCCATGACCCTGAAGGCAAAACGGTGTGCTTGCATAGCGTGTGCGTATCACCCAATGCGCGTCGACAAAAAATTGCATCGCGTCTTATGAAGCATTGGATCGAAATCATTCGTAACGAGAAACGGTATCAGCGTATTGCATTGATGAGTCGCCCCAATCTCATTCCTCTCTATGAATCTGTGGGGTTCAAGACACTTGGCAAAAGTTCGGTGGTGCATGGACCTGACCCATGGTATGACGCCGTCATTGACTTGTGAGCGTAAAAATACATTTGTATTTCATAGACAACGATGAACGAGACCACGAACAAAGCTCATGCTGGGGTATAATGTGTTGCGATAATCCATGTCATACCACGCATTAATGGCAATAACACCTTCGTCACCATGTTGCAAAACCTGATGGAACCAGAGTGCTAATTAGAAAGGATGTGAGAAAAGAAAAGGCTATGGGCGTGTCTACATGTGGATGTATGTAACTCACCAGGAAGATACAGCATCTCACCCGCTTTTACCTTGACAACAATGGGACGAGCATACTTGAAGCGAGGAAAACGTTCAAGGTTTGGATGTAAAGGGTCCACAGGTATCCAAGGTGTTTCAGTAGGAGGGTCAAGCGGGGTCAAATCCATTGAAGGAGAATAAATGGCTGTTGGAAAAGTGGATTCTAGATGATACATGATGAGTCTCCAATCTTTTTGTTGTTGCTTCTTTTTCTGTTACCATGGAGACAATAGTATTCTGATGGCGGTAGCAACACGAACGTTTTTTCACCACGTATAACGGCATAGCAATTCTCATAGGGATCTTTGTGCAATGATGTAATGCTCTTGTCGTTGCCCATCCAAAAGTTGACAGCATCCGGTTTTTTGCCAAGTGCCTCGCTACACCATGATACCTCTTCATCAATGTCGTCTTTAAGTGCTGCAAATTCGGTGTGCAAGCTGTCGTTTTGTAATGAGATATAGTGCGCATGGGGTGTGTTGCGTTTTCCTTCGATGATGTCGAGAAAGTCGTTAAAAGGCATCGATTCTTCATGTGGCAGCACAAAGTACTCGCGATCTGTTTTCGGATCATAGGTCACTGCATCTGCGTAGCTGCATAAAGAACGACTAGGTGAATTCATGGATCACAAAAAGCAGGTCCTTCTTACCCATTTGGCGTGGCTATATGCGTTACATGTTAATAAGCTTCCCTTTTCAACATCATGCGTTGATCACGTACTTCCCACTGTAACAATCGATTCACCCATCTTCTCCCGAAAATAGTCATCACTCCATCGTTTCATAGCTGGCCAATGCGATATGGCATTTTTTATCACTGCAGGCCTGTTGGGATGCACACAATTCCTGAGGAATTCCACTGGGGTTGGTGGCGAGTCGTAAGTGTGGATGTATGTACCATTGATATCTATAAGAAGCATGTATTAAGGGAATGATCGAAGTGCAGCAAGACATGATGTTTTACCTTGGTATTCTTGTATAAAGTTGATAATTTCTTCTTCCATCATCAAGAGGATAAGGTGATGTGTTGAAAAGGAAAAAAGAAAAGAGTGAAAGGGGAAAGAGGATCCCGACATCAGCATTTTCAACTCAGGCGTGCTTGTGTGTGTGCGTCTGTGCAGCAATTGAATTAGCCCCATGCAATTCCCAAAGCAAGATCTCTTTCTCTTTCACATTTTATTTCATATCGTTTAATCATCATGGTACATAATCGATGGATGCATAGATGGGTGGATGGATGGATGGATGGATGGATGGATGGATGAAAGAATGGATAAGCTGATGGATGGATGAATGATGTAGGGTCGTGTTCGTACCAAGACTGTCAAGAAGGCTTCTCGTGTCCTTATCGAGAAATACTATCCTCGCCTCACTCTCGATTTCCAAACCAACAAGCGCATTTGTGATGAGGTTGCTATCATTCAGTCCAAGCGTCTTCGCAACAAGATTGCTGGTTTCACCACCCATTTGATGAAGCGTATCTCTCGTGGTCCTGTCCGTGGTATCTCCTTCAAGCTTCAAGAAGAGGAACGTGAACGTCGTGATAACTATGTGCCCGAGCAATCTGCTTTGGATACCTCTGCTATTGAGATTGATCCTGAGACTGAGGTATGTATCATCATTTCATTTTCAATGTGTGGCGGTTGGATCTTTCGATGGCCAAAACTATATTGTTATTACTCGGTGTCAAGATCCATCCGTACTAACCAGTAGATCCTGCTGCGTATCCGTTTTCTTTGTAGGACTTGCTCAAGTCCCTCAACTTTGAAAACTTGCCTGGCGTCCGTGTTACCGCTCCCGTCGCTGCATTCGCTCCCAAGGACAACCGTCGCCGTGACAACGCTCGTCGTGCTTAAGTTTGTAGACACTTCTCATGTTGATAAACAATCCAATTCAATAGTATTCCCAATAATCAATGTGATGGGGCCCTGTGAATAGGTTTATTTGGATGGAGATGATAATGTTGATGATTACAAAATGGAGGAAAAGAGTGATAAAATGGTTGCTGGGAATGGTGATGAGCTAATAGGTCGATGGGGTGCCTTCATCAGTAATGTGTCCAAAGAGCCTTCGTGTGATTTAATCCATGCATCGGGTGATTATCGCTGTATCCAAACATGGTATTGAGTGGCAACACCTTTGACAGGCTTGTAGCTTCAGGCATGCTGATCAAGAAATTGGTTGCCGTGTGTCTTGCATATCATTCATAGCCATGGTCTCTCGTATTCACGTGATATGATCCACATCCTTCCCGCTGACTACGTGCCAGGTAACCAAAGCAACATCCCCAAGGATTCCATATCACTGCACTTGATTGCATCCATCCATCATAACTGCCATTGCAAGTCCAAGGGGGTAGAACGAGCCAAATGATCGCTACTGATTATCTTCCTTTTCCATGCGACTATTGCGAAGTGTGGCATCGACCAAATGCATAGCAAAGATTGCTTGTATCGAGGCGTACTGATAATGGGTATCGATAGCTATCATCATGTGGTGTACTTCACCTAGTGAACCTCACTATTAGACGTCATTTCTTGGTCGAATGTCTCATCCATTTGCCCTTTGCTTACCTTGGTTGGGTCATCGTATAGAAAACTACTTGTAGCACATGTGGTATTGTGGATGCGTGTAATTGATGCATGAAGAGATGATGATAGTCATTGTTGTGTAATAGATAAAGCTGTTCAACATGCTATAATGTCACACCAGGAAGACTTCCCTTGGAACTAGTTGCTGGTCACCACCTCGTTTTGACAAGGAAGATGGGCCTAAGCTTCTTTGCATGTTCCTTTCAAACTCGTAAGGAATGAGTGCCGAAGGTGCCATGTACGCGCTGTCATCGTTTGTCGTTACAAAGAAGTTGCCATGATGGTCATTGTCCAGTGGTGTGAAATGCAGTTGGAGAGGAAGAGTAGACGCAGCGGATTTACTCTGCTCCAACTTGGCCTTTTTTACCGCCTGCCTATTACACCACCCATAGAATGCATAATTGTATCACCCGTGGTGATTCATTTATTGTCATTGTCCTCACAACTATAATAAACCATGATCTATTTCATTGTCAAGTGGTAAAGGGAGGAAATATGGTTGCTAGGTGAAAGGGGTGTACTAGTCTCCGGTTTCCAAGCAACCTCCAACAAAGCTTTTGTGCGCATGAAAAAGACAAGTGCAGTGAACAAAGAAAATGAAAGAGTGTATATTGTATACGCGTGCTAATAATGAATTGAATAGGTTTACGTTCAAGGGACCCACCTTGGGGCATCATCATCATCATCATCGTCCCCTTGGGTTCGACTCCCAACCCTGTACATACCTTTTGACCATCCATTTGACATCATCAGTGCACAAGGTAGGCACCTCAAAGGAGGCATGCATGATCCATGCCTTTTGTGCTTGTGTCTTTTTGGAAAATGTGACAACGAGTACGAGGGTGATGAAGACTACTGCGAATGATGAGCAATGATAATGAAGAGGAGGATCATGGTGGGGCCCCAGTAGGTAGAGGAAAGCATGGTTTATTATCCACTTGGATTTTCGTAGCTTATCCCACTTCTTGTTTGCTTGTATATTGATATAGTAGCTTTGATGGAAAAAGGTGATTCCTTTATCGGTCTTGTAAGAAATAAGACATGCATATTATTATGACACATACATAAAGAAAGGGGTTGAGCTTAAGAGAAATGGTGGTCTTCCATTGAGGTTCAGGGCGTGAGTTACCAGTTCCATGTATGTTGCTGTGGTAAAAGGGTGGCATTATGTATGCGTGTGTGTGCGCATCCACTTTAATCGATGCTGGTTTATGCAGCTCGACCATGCACATCCAAATGTGGCATTGACACCATTATTTGTCATGCACGTACCATCCTTGATACATTGGACGTTGTTTACTTACATACCTTCATCACAAAAGGCAATCATTGTCATCATCCATTTGGGCAGCAACCTGTAAGGACGTGTTTGTAACCACCACGTGCGGTTTCACTCAGCTCTTCATCTTTCCGTTCATGCAGTCGACACCATCCACTAGGAAAAAGCAACTCCATCATACTTACGGCATAAGTAAAACATAAAGGTGCCTGTATCTCCAAATTTTACAATCAAACGTGGGCTCTTTAATAGATCAACGTGCTTGTCGGGGTCAAAGGAATCTTGTGTCAAAGTATGAAGTTCATCGTGGCCAATCCCAGATTTCGCAATGTCGCTACCAGCCAAACTGGATCCGGGGCTCAACCTCTTTCGACGACGACCAAAAAATATTTTTTGGGCTAGTTGCGACATTGGACGTGAAACTTTCACACAAGATGCTGTTGGCCAAGCCGAGCCCATTGCTCTAATAAAAACCTCACCTTCGATTGTAAAGTTTGGAGATACAGGCACGTTTATGTTTGTAAGCGTGATGCTATATGAGAAGTGGTCTTTGTTTAATGTAAAGTAGCTAGACCCTGACAGAGCAAAAGATGCAGAGGGTCGTGTTGTGTAACACAGCTACGTTTGCATGAATGAAAGGATCAATGTATAATTACTTTATGGACCATCTAGGAACAGGCATGTATTGCTAGCTAACGGCCTCTTTTATCCAATCATCATTGTTGCGAGATCCACTGCATGGGAACGATGCCCCTGCTCTAGACATTCATTTCCATGATTAAAGTAGGTTGATCCGAGCTGATTTGACTGAGCTGCGGTCAAAGAGGGATTACATCACTCTGGACATAAAGCACGCTCGATGTAGCTCAACCGATGTAATCTTGTGTGAGCGTAACTCAACCAAATCATCTCGGATCAACCTACTTTAATCATGGAGACGAATGTCCAGAGCAGGAGCATCGTCCACCTACAATAGAATGCACAAAAGTTGGGAATGCACAAGAGTGGCTATTAGCTGCCAATGTATGACATAAAAGCGAGGGTTGCGTACCTTTCATGCATTGTCCCTGAAGTCCTGACTTTTTAGCTGAGTTACCCAAAGAGGTCCTTCTGCATCTTTGGCTCTCCAAGGTCTAGCTACTTGGCAATGAACAAAGACCACTTCTCATATAGCATCACGCTTACAAACATAAAGGTGCCTGTATCTCCAAACTTTACAATGTGACGTGGGGTTTTTATTAGAGCAATGTGCTCAGCTTGGCCAACAGCACCTTGAGTGTAAGTTTCACGATCAAGCTTGCCAATCCCAGATTTCGCAATGTCGCCACCAGTCAAACTGGATCTGAGGGTCGACCTCTTCGACGACGACGACCAAAAAATATTTTTTGGGCTGTTTGCGACATTGAACGTGAAACTTTCACACAAGGTGCTGTTGGCCAAGCCGAGCCCATTGCTCTATTCAAAACCCCACGTTTCATTGTAAAGTTTGGAGATACAGGCACCTTTATGTTTTACCTATGCTGTAAGCGTGATGCTATATGAGAAGTGGTCTTTGTTTAATGTAAAGTAGCTAGATCCTGACAGAGCAAAAGATGCAGAAGGAATTGTTTGTGTCACGAAGCAAGAGAAAGCTGATCTTAAGCACCAGTCCTATTGGCGGAGAGTGCATAAAGGACCCCTTTCCCTGCCTGTCTATAGTAAGGTCCACGTATGGTAGCCCGTATGAAGTCTTTTTCAAGCCTACCATGACATGGTCAATATGCCAAAATGACCAATGGATCCGGTAGTATCTTGTGTGAAAAGTGCATGTTGCATGAAGCTTGAAATGCGAATTGCCTTTCATCCATCATCATCATCCATCCTACGCACAGCATCTATTTGCATCAGCAGTCAATTACAGAAGCTTGCTCATCTCATTTTATTGACGCTCTTTATGACCATCATGCTTCTTAGAACCACGCTAACTACCATGCTAATAGCTACATAATACAGGCATCGAGAACATCCTCCTCCTTTGAACAAGGTCAAATCATCCAAACCTTTATCAATGTTGTTTCCATGCTTGGAATCTCGTCAGAGCAAAGGACAGCCATAATTGAATAATCCAAGTGTTCGTATCAAAGAGTTCGTGATCCTGCCACTGTGTCCTTGTTACTATTGAAAGATACATCTTCAACTGGAGGTTCGATCCACAAACACGTTGAGCCTTGCGAAATAACCTTACCACTTTTATCTTGTTTGGTACCTCCATCATTGCCTAGAATCCCTGATGAATCGTTGTTGTCAATGCTGCGTGCTTCATGATTGCCTTTGCCGATCCATCACTACCAGTATCATCCATGTAAACGCACTTCTTGTGGTCATCGCCCAAGGGATCATCCAACCTGAGGTACGCCTTATATCAAATAAGCCATCCCCTTTTTCCTTGATTCTTGTAGAAAGGAATGAACGATACCTTGTTAGCATTCTAGCCGCTTAATAAAAGCAGGACGAAGTGTTTAGACGTACCTATTGTGTTGCTCCAGTCATGGGTGGATCGCCAATGAGGAAAGAACATGGGTCACCGATCGCTGTTTGACACGCTTCACAATTGCATCTTCACCATTGACGTTGTTGTTGTTGCGATGGAAACGCTACCAGTGAGTGCTATAGAGGAGTCGGCATTGGGTTGGTGAAGAAGAGGAAACGCCGCCATGGATACCAACCTGCCAATTCATATGCAGCTATGGGATACATAAAAGAAAGTCCATCCATAAAGCTTCTACCATATTGAAAAGATGATGTACTCTGCTGCAATGATGCGTCTGATCGATATTAGTTAAAGCTCTACCACTGATACTGGTGATCCGTGTACCATCATCATCATCACCATCACCATTGCTGGCAGATGCAGATCAAACAAACGTATGCATAAAGGTGCGTGCATAAGCTTGCATTTGCATAAGCATCATGTCTAAAACTTGCCCTGGAGAATAACATGTCATCGCTAATACCGTAGGGATGCGGTCACGTATATGCCATTCCAAGCACTCATTGGTTCGGGTAAATAGCACATAGTCGTCGTCCACTAGGCATTCCTCTATAACATGCAATGGTATTAAAACACGAAACATAAAGCAGCAACTTGAAAACAGTATTTAGTTTAAAAAGGCGAGGAAACAGGGTCATGTTGTAGTTTAATATAGAAGGCTAGCAGTTATTCTATGTATTTACTTTTCTAGATCCTCGGGGAATGTAGAATCACACATGGAAGGATTTTTACCACTAGATAAGATAGCAAGCGATTAGCATCCATAGGAAAACAAACATGAAACTACGACGTCTTACCACCACAAAGGTTGAAGAGCTTCGGCTTTAATTCCACGGTTGACAAGACGATAGCGCCAATCGAACATGCGAGACATTGCATCACTCAAGTCACGTTTCTCATTTTCAATGTTGTATCTTCCAGACCACAAAACCTCTGCTGCTGCTGCAGTACGTGGCCTATATTAAAAGATCACGGTTAACAAATACGTATGCATTGCTATGTATCCAAGTCATTTACCATAATCGCACGTCAAGTGCAGTGCTATCCGTTTGCTCTGCCCAAAGGGCTACTTCGCCTCCCAAGACATTGGCGGCCTCTTGTTTCGTAAGGTTGTATGCCATATCGTAGCTATAGATACGTTGCCATGTTTTGAAAGGCCTAAAGCGTCATGGTTGTTAATACTCCAAATCAATGCCATCATGTGAAAGGTAATAACTTACGAGCACCAATCACCACCACTACCACCCCAATTGGATGGGCGATAATTATCTGTCAATTGATGTCGATCCAATTCATCTGCAAGTGATTCTGGGACCTTGGGTTGTTCTTGTTCATCGTAGGATTCATCGTTGCCACTATAAAAAGCCGATCAACAACAATACTTTGCGACAACTAATATGATTCAACCTACGTCCAACCACCGTGGCCACAATCCAGATACCAAAAGTTGGCGTGTGAAGCAATCACCTTGTAGCCTTTCTTTGCTGCTTCTTGGACCGGCTTGTTCCATACCTGCAAGACCACGTCTTTTGAGATGGGCAATTGATTATCTGTGACGGAATCTGTGCAATACAAGTCATAAGCAACATGATGTAAAAGCGTGATTTCATTCAACAAACCTTCCCAAAGGATAGCTTTTTTGCCAGAATTTTGAATGAATTGGACTTCCTTGTTCAAAAACATGTGCAACAACTCGTCGCCGGTGGCATTGTATTTGCTCATGTATTCTTGTACTCGATGGTCTTGTTCCCAGCACTTGTAAATAGGTTCATCACCACCACCATGATACCAATTATCAGGGAAGAGGGAAGCCACCTCGGAGATAACCTTTTCCACAAGATGATACGTCTCTTCAAGAACAGGATTCAATTGACCCGTAGTGGGTTCAGCAGCCAAGCGCTCGCTCCATTCGTTGCTCGGATCCAAAAAGAATTTTCCATTGCATGTTCTACATCAGCAACATGAGATTCTTTGTATCATTTTTAGAGAAAGAATGAAAGCTTACATGATATCAGGATGGGAATTAGCCCAAGAACCGGTGTGAGCAGGCTGCATTAATGAGAGATGAGTTTGAATTTTCTGGATAATGAAAGGAGGAGGAGGAGGAGAGCTCGTTTACCATGTCAATTTCTGGGATTACACGAATACCCCTGGATCGTGCATACTCCACAACACGTTTAACATCCTTTTTAGAATAGACCAATCTTCGGTTGTTGAGCACATAGGCAGCTTGTTGAGCAAGTTCAGGAACACTCTCCAATCGTAAAGGAAAGCTTTGTGAATCTGTAATGTGCCAATGGAATACCTAGTAGTTGTACGTATTCATGCTGTGAGTAAATTATACATGCATCTTTTTTTAAGCAGCACACATACATTCATTTTGTTGTACGCCATGGCATCGATGGTTCGCAGGATATCAGAAACAGGAAAGTAATTGCGAGATGTATCTAGTATGCAAGGGGTGAGTCGTTGATGTCAAAGGATACATAAAAAAGCAAGCTTACAACATACCCAACATCAAACCACGATGAGAATACACAGGCGCATCTTCAATATGGATAGGTGTTTCAGGGATATACAATTGCATTGTGGTGTTGGTAGCATCATCTTCGGAATAATCAAGGATGGGAGTTTCCTTTGGAGGGCGTGCCTTGACAAGCTGAGAAAATGTTTCTAATCCACGTAATGCACCCCATACAGTGGCGGCACGCAGTCGACCTTCAAATTCTTGAATATCCAAAGTGTATGATTCATCGACATCGTGATCCAATTCCGCACTTGGATTATCAACAATAATGTCAAGCTGAGAGAAATGAGATGTGGCCACCGTTGTACGCATGATTGGTTGCTTTGGTACTTGTACCTGTCACCATCATCCATGATTAACCTTCATGATACAACACATAGCCCATCCCATACCCTACTTACAGGCATCCATTGCTCAGAGCGTACAAGATCAGTGTATCGATTGATAGCATCTTTCAATACAGGGATATCAGGTGCATTGAATTTGAAAGAGGTGATCTATGTATGTATGTATGTATGCATCATAATAAGTCATCGCACTATGTTGTCATGTTGCTTTTTTTCTTTACATTGAGAACCACATCGGTATCACCAGAGTCGATGTATTGTGGGATAGGCCATAGGAACGCTCCTTGCAAAGCCCAAGAAATGGATGGAAAGAGGGTTGTGGCGGCTAAGACAGCACGACTGATTTTCATGAATGAGAGAGCGAGCGAATGAGAGAAAGAAAGTAAAGAAGAAAAAAGGAGTAAACCAGGTAAATGGAATGTAAAATGTCGCTTTTATTATGCAAAGATCCTGCCTTGGCTTTAACTGTAATCAATGACCTTCTTGATATAGTAAGCACCTGCGGTCAACGACAAGACTGACATTGCTGCTGGCACAGGCTTCTTGAATCCGCTCTTGATGGCACGGGGAATCATTCCACCAGCAAGGACTGCCGATGCAGCGACAGCCGTCTCGTGTCCGTAATCTCTGTTTTCCTTGATGAGGTAACCTGCCACACCGTAAAGGGAACCAACAGCCACACCAGCAACCAAAGAAGGAACAGAACGCGTCTTTGCAAAACCAGCAATACCACTACAATAAATGTGATGAGCCTACATGCAAACCTATCTCATGTGGATTGTGAATGTTTACCCAACGGTGGACAAGGCGGCCATGGTATAGCAAGGATGATGTGACATGGTTGTTGAAAAGAAGAACAAGGTTGACAACGTTGTCCGCACCCGCCGATTTTATGTTTATGTTGTGCGGGGTGAAGCTGCTGTTGTTACGGCAACGGGCCGATAATCGGCGCATGGCAACACAAGGCAGAGGACGGAATCGCTGGTTCGGTGATAAAGCAGCTGCTACGTATATAGTATAGATGTCCCAAGGTAATATTATAAAGAAGATGCTGCATGGAACATTTGATGAATGCGTTTGAATGAGAGCAGGATTGTACATAAGAAAACCATCGTAGTAGATACGACATCAACAACAAAGGATATATGAAGTAATGCATCTTTATTAAAGGATGAAGACCTACAAAGAATGAAAAGGGGATAAAAAGACAATGAAGACACACGTCTACTTGCTTGTCGTTGCATAGCTCCCTGCGTATCCCTTTTCCTTTTTCGAACTTTTGTTACAATAGAGCCATGTATTCCCACTTTTCATAAAAGGCATTCTCGGGCTCCATAGACCAAGAGGCTCCTTTGCATCATTTAGTATTACCATCTCAACAAGGGATATATTGAATCAACCATCTCTTCCACGTTCATCGTTCTTTTTCTTTTTCAGGTCCTTGTAGTATATCAATACGCAGTGTTGGGTATTTGGGAAAATCGGACGTATGATGTCAACCTCTTGCATTATTGCCTTTATATAGTATCATGCTTCAAGTAAACGTTAACGTTACTAATGCTACCACGTGCTGCATAAGATGACAGTAAAGATGATGGTGTAATGGACGTATGGGCACTTGAAAGAACAAACCCCCCTCGAATGCTTCATCCAGGGCTCCGACTTGGGCAATCATAAAAGTCAACACATTACAATAGTATCCTACCACAAAGGTGTACGTTGCTCACACGCTCTCTCTTTTCAAGGTAAGCAGGTGCATATCAAGGTGCTGGTAGTTCGCCATTGAGCATAAAGTAGTTGACTGTGTAGAGTAGCACATTCAAGGGCAGCAGTTTCTGAGCTTGACAATCGATGACTTTGGCCAACTGGCACGCCCATTCTCCTCTTTCTCCTGTTGAACACGGCCATCCTAATCTCTGCAACACGACTTTGAGCAGGTTACTATAATAACATGAATACAATGTGAGCAACAGTATCACTGACGATAAGAGACCTTCCTAGTTCATGTCATCACCTTACAGTCGACCATCCCAACCTTCTAATTCGTCGTCGTCGTCTTCGTCGTCGTCTTCTTCGTCTCGACTTTCGCCAGCGTATAATGGAATACCAGCTCGATCAACTCCTCAAGGATCTATTCTACCCTATATTCCAGAACGCACATCGTCGAATCCCGAGCAAATCTCAAAGATTGTCAACTCTCTCAACTATGATGTGTCTCAAATTCGACCTCTTTATCAAGGACGACTACGTACCAATGGTGCACCCGACCTAGGAGCTATCAATGTCAGTAGTAGACCTACGGCGACGAGTGGTGGCAGTAACGTTACGACACCTACAGCAGCAGCAGCATCATCATCAACTAGTACGCCTATCGGTACAGCACATCCATCGGCTGTTGGTGTATCGACGTTCGACTGGGCGAGCATTCCTGTGAGTCCACGTACTAAGCCTGGTAATACCAATGAAGGAGGATGGAAGATTAGCTCGAAAAGAGTACCCCATTTACAGGTAAAAAGTGTGATAGAGTTTGGGATGTTTGACTTTGATTAAACAAATCGTATTGTATGTAGGATCATTCATATCAACAGCAGCAGCATCACATTCCACCACCTCTCCAATCTCCTTATTATCATCAGTTTCCTCAGCAACAACAACAACCGCAACAACAGCAACAGCGTCTACAACGTATTCAAGTCACCACCGATTCCAATACATTCCATAGCTTGACAGTGACCGATCTCATTGATCCAGCCGTTATCAAGACCACCATCCTTCGAAAGCTGAATCTGGATTTAGGACATCAATACCTCTATTATCATGAAAATGGTGTCATGTACCAGCATGAGAATGGTGAACGTTTTTGTAAGCGACAAGGAAAAAATCAATCCAAGTACCTTGAACTAATCATGTTGTATATGTGTAGATGCTCCTTTGACCGATGAGGAACTTGTCAACATATGCCGTGCATCAGATGAGAGACCCAAGGATCAGATTTCGGTCATGCTTGCAGATCAGCTATTACCACCTTATGCAAGAGATGGCAGAGGCATCTATCCTGATATCCCTAGTGATTATCATTATCGATCGCAATACGCAAGGTGAGAGAAAAGGATAAGGAAAAGGATGCATTGGAGATGGGTATACTAATTGCATTGAGTAACATAGGAATGTCGTACCGGTTATGTATCCAAGGGCAACGGAGCCACACAATACCTATTATGGACATCCAGGGTCTTCAATGCATCCAGAGACCTATGATTCTCAATACAGCCCTGTCATGTCAAGTTCACCCAAGATAATACCTGTGGCCAATGTTCATCATCCTCGTCCCACCACCACCAATGGACCTGATTTTATTCCATCATCTTCAGCTGCTACAGCATCCACCCCTAGTGATGAGTTACGACAAGACAGCGGCTACTTTGAACGTAGCTACAAGCGATCCTCAGCACGTAGCACATCTTCTATGGAACGACTTTCTCTCCAAGATCCTCCTCCACCTACACACAAGGCTGCAGAATTATGGGCCGTTCCACCTCAACAACCTGTTGCTGTCAATGAGACCACGGATAGTAACAAGCAAGCTGCTCCCGTTTCTTTATGGGCTGTTCCACCTCAACGTCATCCCGAACCATCATCGTCGTCATCATCCGCAGCAGCAGAAGAGGAAGGCAACAAGCCTATTCCATCAGTATCGTTATGGGCGGTACCCCCACAGTCATCATCTTCTTCTTCCTTGGAATCATCATCAGCCAATGATGAAAGCAAAAAGCAGCAGCAGCAGCAGACGACGTCACTTTGGGCTGTGCCTCCTCAACATTCCATGGAATCATCCAATGATCTTGATACCAATAATGCATCAGAGCCTGTATCACTTTGGGCGGTACCTCCACAAAAAGAACATGAAACGCCTTCTTCTTCAAGTTCGTTATGGGCCGTGCCTCCACAAAAAGAACATGAAACGCCTTCGTCTTCTTCTTCTTCTTCAAGTTCGTTATGGGCTGTACCACCTCAAAAGACGCCTGATCCTGTGAAGCAACAATCAACAAGCTTATGGGCAGTACCACCTCAACGATCCTTGGATCCAGTTACAGAAGTTGAGGATATTCCAGAGGATGATAATAATAACAAGCACGCACCTGTGTCATTATGGGCTGTCCCTCCTCAACATGGATTGGAAGGCGAGGGTGATGCTAGTGCTGCTACATCGAGTGATCATTCAGGCGATGGTTTATGGGCTGTGCCTCCTTCTAATGCCGAATCCAGCAATTCCGAAGCCGACGATTTGACATTGAAACCAAGACCACGTCCAAGTGCATCTACTGAATCGACTCTTAAAAAGAGATGGCATCATCGACGACAATACTCTGATGGTGGTCGTGTAACCAATGGCAGTGAACCAGAATCAATGGGAGGCAATAGACGCACCGTACGCTTTGTGAGTCCCAATGCAACTTCCTATGTCGAGGATGGCGTTGAAAAATTATCATTACGAGATGAAGCAGCATCATCATCGAATGAATCGGGTCAATTGGATGATAAGCAACAGCAACATCGCAACAATCACAATTTGCATATTCAGATCCCAGCTTCGGATGATGATACTACGATCTCTTCTCGATCACCACGCACACCAAGGCAACGTACACCATTATCAGCCAACAGTAGTAGCGGTGCATCACCTATCTCCAGCTCGCATGAAACTAGTGAACATGAGGATGAAACATGGGGCGAGCGTCCATCTATCGAACAATTGTACCGTGACATTGACAAGTACTTGCCTGGTCATGATCTTGATAAAGAGATTTTTATTGATACATCGAATCCCGCCGCTGCTGGTGCTGGTCCTACTGCTGCTACACCTGGGACATCTCCGAATAATAATGCTATCGCTGCTGCTGCTGCACAATCCGCTGCTGCTGCTGCTGCTGCACCTGCTCCACGTCGTTTGCAAGGTCATAAAAAGTCTATTCGTGTTGTTGCAAATGAGGCCCATCGCAACTGGAGACAAGCCATGAATGTTATTCGTGTCAACCATCTCTTGAGACGACGAAGCACCAAGATGTGGGGAAGAAAGGTTGAGCAAGTCAAGCCTGGTATGATTATTGAGGAACAAAGTATCCCCAAGGAGAGTCAAGATGCTGGTTATATAGGTATGTGTGGGTGTGGGGGACATCTTTTTCTTTGGGTTAGCGGTTATTGACTTGTACATTCTTATAGCACCCACCAAGATGCAATGGGTACGTGGTGAGCTGATTGGCCGTGGATCATTTGGTCGTGTTTACCACGCTCTCAATGTGGCAGCTGGAGAATGGATTGCTGTCAAGGAAGTCGATGCTCCCAAAACGAAATCGGATATGCTGAATGACAAGATGCGTGATGCTGTCGACTCTTTATATCGCGAGGTGTCTTTGCTCAAGGATCTTGATCATGAAAACATTGTCCAGTATCTCGGCTATGATTATGATGAAGAGGAAGGCCACATCAACATCTTTTTGGAGTATGTCCCTGGTGGTAGTATTCTTAGTGTGCTTCACAAGACCGGTCGCTTTGAGGAAGTGTTGGTTCGATTCTTTACGCGACAAATCCTTTTAGGATTGGAGTATTTACATGATCGCAATATTATGCATCGAGTAAGTTAGCCATGAATGATGAAAGATTGGATCTCTAAGATGGCATTTGTTATCTAGGATATCAAGGCAGGTAATATCCTGGTGGATCAGAATGGTGTATGCAAGATTACGGACTTTGGTCTCTCCAAGCCGAGTGGTCAAGAAGAGGCATATGATCCCAATTCCAATACGCTTATGAAGGGCACAGTATTTTGGATGGCACCCGAAGTGATTCGATCCGATTACAGCGCAAAGATTGATATTTGGAGTCTTGGATGTACCGTGATTGAAATGTTGAGTGGGAATCATCCTTGGCTTGACCTGAATATGCTTGCTGCCTTGTATAATGTAAGTTTGCTCTACAAGGATTGGATAGAACAAATCCCCTAACACCGATTTACACCTATAGCTCGGAAAATACCAAGCACCACCATTACCAGAAGATGCCTCTGATGCAGCAAAGGATTTCCTTAATCAGTGCTTTATCATGTAAGTCGAAGTCAATGGGTTTATTATTATGATGTGGTAATTGACATTGGCGTTTTATTATAGCAATCCTGAAGAGCGACCGACAGCAGCTGATTTACTGGTTCATCTCTTTGTCCGCCAGGAACCATCATTCAATTTCAAGGCAAGTCAAATGTGTGCATGTGGATGGGATCATGTAACTGACAGACATGGATTTATAGAAATACATGAAAGAAGTGGAAGCCAAATCGAAGTCTTGAACATTATTCTCTTATACTTAATACCATCATTATCCCGGTCATCATCCCAATCTCGTTTTCCTTCATCCATTACCTACGCACAACTACCACCACACCATCATTCAATTACCACACACCACATATACACATTATCATCCGCATTACTTTTTCTTATATGTAGATGCCCTTTTTCCTTTTATAAAACATCCTGCGTGCCTTGATGGCAACAACACGTTTCTTTCATTTGTCTCCAATTCGATTGCAATGAAGGATGGATAAAGGGAGGGAGTGTGTGTGTGTATATACATATCATGCAAGGTATCGTCACAAGCCTTGCACTTTCCAATTCAAGACGAGCTTCAAATTCTGCTGTCTGATTCGTCTTTTTTGTGTATCTAATTCTACCCACCCGTGAGTTTTCTTCTTGTCCCAAGACGTCCCACGCAACGATCAACAAGTTGCAACCAGCAAAGCATGTCTTCTCCAACTGAATCGATTAGCGACTTTGGCAAGTTATCTTTTATCCTGTGAGACACCCCCTTTCGTCATTGTGTCCTCTCCTTCTCCTCCCCGCGCGTTCTTTATAGACAACCAACACCACCACCACTACTGCTACTACCATCATCACCACCACCACCAATTCCATCGCCATTGTTCGAGAGGGGGGTGAGAGATGGGAAGCGTTGGCATTGTGAAAAAGTCATTAACCTGGATGTATGATAATAGACGACGCTGCATCTACCAAGAAACGACTTCGTGATCAATCGGTTGATCCAGAGGAACCTACCAAGGAACAGGTAATATCTTTATTCGATAAAGGACATTGGGATACTGATAAGCTATCATTAGGTGGATACTTCAAGTGTGAGCACGGCTCCAAAGAAGACGTAAGTGATAGGGTACAAGCGTACAAAGACATCATTGTAGGATATTCATGCACTCGGTTTATAGCAAACATGATGACGAGAACACCACCTCTGTACGCACCATTCGTCAAAACTTGAAGGACATGTCAACAGCTGACAATGCTAATATCAACACCACCACCACCACCACCACCACTGCTATGGAGGATGAACAACAACAACAACAGCAGCAGCAACATCAACCAGCATCATCCACTGTATCACCCAATGATTCCGATTCCGAGTTAGATACTGCCAATGTTGGATCATCATCTGCAACAAGCAATAATGGTAGCACCAATTCAGCCATGGCACGGTTTGGAGGTTCTTCAAGTGGTGACAATAACAACGGTTGGGGTGAATTTGCTGAAGACGACAATGAAAAACAACCAACGACAACGACGACGACGACAGCATCATCGGATCAATCGTCAGAAAAGCCAAAGTATACTTTTGGAGCTACATCAGGATTTGGTACAAAAGGATGGGCCGCATCACAACAAACAACACCCTCTCCCTTGAGTACAAATACAACCCAAAAGGTAAAGGAACACAAGCAAGCAATCAGGGCAAGATGGAATGCTTACCTCTGTACATAGCATACATTTGGTGGGTTTTCTTCAAGGACCTTTGGTGGCAGTGGCACCAGTAGCACTTTTGGTAGCACCAATGCAGCAACAACAACAACAACAGCAGCAGCAGCCACCACTACAGCATCTACAGCGACCAGTGGAAATGATGCTACAGCTTCTTCCTCCTCCTCGACATCAACACCTTCCTTTGCTTCCTTTGCTAATGCAAGCGCTTCTCCTTTCGCTTTGGCAGCTGCAGGTGGCAACACCAATGCCCTGTCATCTTTGCCCAATGTCTTATCCAAACAACCATCGGCTGTATCTGAAAAGAGCGACAATGATGAGAATGCGAGTGAAGCATCTACGACCGCTGATCATCCTACGGAGGAATCAGAATCCACAAAAGTAAAAGCCATAGTCCAGCAAAAAGAAGGTATATGTATAGAATGGCTTTTGGGCTCTATCCCACCGATAACTAATCTTCTTTTTAATAGTGAAAACTGGCGAAGAGGATGAAAAGACATTATACCAAACCAAAGCAAAGTTGTATGTGATGGAGCAATCAACCGGGAATTGGAAAGAACGAGGAGCTGGTACTATGCGCATAAATACCAAGGAAACTGCATCTGGCACCCAACAAACACGGATTGTCATGCGAGCTGATACCGTCTTTCGTGTGATCCTCAATTTGCCCATGTTTGAAGGCATGAAGTTCCTCATTATGCAAGACAAATTCGTTCGCTTTGCTGGTTTTGAGACCGTAGTCAAGGACGATGGTAAATCGGAAACCAACCTGGTCAATTATGCCCTCAGGGTAAGTGGGGGGGGGAGAATTGTGAGTGAATGAGTGAGTGACGGTATTCATATCAATCGATCTCTCTAGGTGGCAAATCCTAGTATAGCAGCTGAATTGCAACAACAATTGACAGCCTGTGTCCCTCATTAATTACATAAAGCTGATATTAAACATTTCATGAGAGCATATAATCTTGTATCGAGCATCATTGCTTCTTAATCCTGCACGTAATACATCTTACCATGTTTGATTCGCTTCATTTACTGACACGTGCCATACACAATGACAAATCACGTGTCCATGGGTTGCTGAAGAAGAATTCCCGGTAAAAGAGATGACCATGCAGCTTTCAAAGGATAATGGTCATCGCATTTCGGTTAGTCTTGCCGTGGTATTTGGTGTACGAAACACTGACCACCTTCCACAAGTGATTTATGTACTACTTGCACTTTTTCAATCTTTGATATCGATTATGCAATGGATCTTCCTATCAGCAAATGACCAATAGTACATAGCATGATATCCTTCCAAAGACACTTTTATAATGGTATCATCATCCTATGTATGTATGCATGTAGAGGATCGACATGTTTTAACAACAACCCAGGTATTACAAGGTGGACCCCGTGTTTCTTTTCTAGATTGGTGATCCAGATGAGCTTAAACCATCCTGAAAACGGGATAGTGCATCAATGTGTTTTTATTACTGTCAAGTTTGACCGAAACCCAGTGAGCTATTTTTGGGGTATGGATCTACGCTGTGATTTATTAGATATTCTGTTGCAGATGATCGATGGTGGTACAAACTCCATGCTGTCTTCCTCCGCCGCTATATTAAAACTGGCCAAAAGCAGCCTACGATCAGAAAGGAAGCACGCATGTCTTTTTGCCTCTCAGCTCATTATTAATCTACTACAACACTTTTTATTCCTTCCTTCCTTCCTTCCTTCCCCTCCCCCCTTTTTATCCTTCTTTTTCTGTCAATCGCTCATTCACCACACTTTGGGTGGGTCATTTCTCTCTCCTTTCTGTCCTTTATTTTCTACTCTTACCCCGCAATGAGCTTGGCATCTTCCAATGGGTCCACGTCGCCATCTAACAACAACCCGTTGTCAGACCTAATTCGCACCGAGAAAGCTTACATTGACACACTCAAGATTATCGATACTGTAAGTGGATGCATACCATCCAATAGAACAAAGGTCTCATTGTTGTATATCTTAGGAACTCGCACCTTTGCTGCAAAACGGTGCTGCTGCCATCTCGGATGATCTACTCGATAGCGTTCACGATATTCTTGTCAGCAATACTCGTTTCTACCAGGTACAATCATCAACCATGTCGATGGCATCATTGGGTATTAATAGGATGCTATGCTATGCTATGATAGCGATTGACCCGGATTGCAGCCAACCCTGATACCATCAAAGAATTGGGAGATTTACTAGTACAATGGGTAACGTATGAGCGAACACAAACAAAACACACATGTTCTGATACATAAATGGTAGGTGGATGATATGCATGTGCCTTATACAAGCTTTTGCGAAACCTTTGCTGCTGAAAGTGACATTTGCACAAAGACGGATCCTCCTCTTGAACGAAGATTAAAGGTAGGCATTCAGGCTCATTATCACATGTCGTCATCCATTTATTCATTTATTCATTCATTCATAGGAACTTTCGATAAGGACCAATCGTGAGGTGACATTGAGCTCTCTTTTCAGTGCACCAATGGAGCAATTGCGCTATTACAAGGCATTGTATACTGTAAGTAGCATACGCATTGTACTTGGATCCAAGCATTGATCTCTATGCATAGCGATTTCTGCAAAGTGCACAACCAGGGAGATCGGATCACAAGTTGTTGACCAAGACCCTCCAACAAATTGACACCACCCTTTCAGCAATGCCAACAGTACCAACCATGCCTAATCATGAAGAGGATCAAACGACATTGGCGCATGATGATGGATCTCCAGGGCTACTTTCGGGAATCGATTGTTCAGGTACCATGGATTTGTTTACTGGGATGCCCAAGGTAAATCATATAAGGTGGATTAGGATGAGGTTTTGGATTCATCTAATCACTACCTGATTATAGCCTTATTCCATTACGAGCACAAGGAAATTGGGAAGCATGGTATTGGAGGATCATTTCATCTTGTTGCCTGAGGGAACGCATCTTTCAGCTCCTACTCGTGTGCAAGCAACCTTGACAACGGAGACGCTTATTCTTGTGGATGCATCAGCACACAAGCTATTGTATGCACCGATACCTGTGGATGATTTGACGAGCAATTCAAGGAATTTGGATCGTGAGCTTGTTGGTGAATATGTGGTTCAATTGACCATCCAAGGCCAAAAGCATTTATTGCTAAGAGCGGATACCCGAGAAACAAGGAACAAGTGGGTTGGCGTACGTGCTCAGGCACCAAGCTCAACGACATTGACACCTCGTTCGATGCGATCCATTGTTCAAGGAGGTGGTAACCAAGCAACGCCACGTATTGATACCAATGCACGCAAGAGTGTGATTCGTAAACAAGATATCTTTTCGTTTTATCAAGATCAATCAGGGGAAATTTCGCCTTTATCGTCCGAGGAGGAAGATGAACCAGTGACAATGACCACCACCACCACCAATAATGGAGAAGCAGCAGGGGTTACACACATCCGACCCAAAGGTAATTTTGCAGGATTATTGAATGATGGGAACCAATGTATACTAAATACAAGGGCAATCTATTAGTACCACCTTTACCAATCAGTCGGAAAGAGGATAAGCACGAGGTGCCAACAAGTGCGGATATTACGACCAAATCGACACAGCTTTTGACTCCAAGACCTAGTCCTTCGTCTGAGGATAGTGGCAGTAGTCGTGGAAATAGTCCAGTGCGTCCAACAACACCACGAACCATTGAGATCAGTCATGCTGTGGCACCCGTTGCTGCAATGCAAGCCATTACACAAACAAATGATTATTTGGTGCCTGGTGCACAACAACAACAACAACAACAGGTCAATCATCAACAACAACATAGACCTCTTCCTCCTCATCCACCCATGAAACAACCTACATGGCCTACACCTGCAGCTCCTATGAATCGTGCTCCTAGTCCTGGTCCACCTGTTGCACCATCACATCAACCACCACCACCATCCCATCAACAGCAACAGCATCTTGCTCCTCAACAACAACAACAACTTCGATCTCAACGTTCCATGCCAGAATTGGTTGTTACCCCGCGTCATCATCCTCCACCATTGCCTAATCATCATCAACAACAGCAGCCTCCACAAGGAAAAGTGCTCTATAGCAATGGCTATTGTCAAGTATTTCGCTGGAAAGGGCAATCATGGTATGGGGTGGATGGCCAATGTCTTGTGCAAGTACGCCAAGTGACCACGCATCGGGCATGTTTGAGTATCCAAATGCAACATTCAGGGCAATTGTATTTGAATGCTTGGGTATTGCCAAGTACATCCATCAACCATGCATCACCTACCGATATCAGTGTGACAGTACATATGGCGATGGGAAGGGAGACCTACTTGATTCATTTGCAAGCACCCCACGATGCCAATGCCTTGTATCAATCTTTATTACAGACGCATCAGTTGGCTCTGGCAGCTGACTTTTTATCCAAACAAGATGATGATGATGATAAGGAACCACCCCAACAAGAGGATGCAGCAGCAGCGGTCCCTCAAACAGAACGACTCGTGATGCAATGCAAGACCAAGTTGTTTGTACAAAATGAACATGCAAAATGGGGTAGTCTTGGGAGCGGTCTTGTGCTTCGATTGTCACAGCAACAACCCAGCAAAAAAATGTACATTGATATCGAGGATGGCAAAAAGAAAAAGTTGGTCAGCGCCATGGTCCAAAGCCGTAACGTGGGTCAAATCGGTCCTAAACGCATCACATTACTTTTTATTACCGAAAAGCAAGCCGTTGTGTACATGGTCCAAGTCAAGGAAGAACAAACAGCTGCTAAATTGTACCAGTATCTCAAGACAAAGAATTCCGATAATGGATGGTAGATTCATTCATCCCTCTCTCTCCCCTTCACCACCACCCACCTTACTTTTTTATCTAATCATTTTCTTCCACCACCACATGTATCATATCATCCGTCATCTATTCATTCTTCCTTTTTTCCCTTTTTACTTTGAAATATACAGCACATACGCATCTATTTATCACATGGGCCAATCCATAATGGGTGAGTGAAAATATCGGTTGCTAGGTTCAGTGTTATCCATAGCTGGGGTGTATACAAAATCAGCAAAACGGAATAAATCGAGATCGGCATGAGCCCAATCCACTGGCTTTAACCAAGACCAATCCTCCTGTTGATGATGAGAAAAATCATGACTTGATGCTGCTGCTGGTGTAGTAGTTAATGACGTGGGAACGGCATCATCAGTTCCTGTCGTTGTATCAGGTTCTTGCTGAGACGACCATAACGTTGTTGGCTGCATTGGTTGTTGTTGTTGTTGTTGTTCTGGTGAAGGTATTCCACCACATCCATCCTCAGCCTTTTCACCACGAATTTGTTGATCGATGCGAGCCATCAATGCTTTGACGTATTTATGATGCTTTACAGGTGATCGCTTCAATACATGGGCTATTCGTGACATTTGTTGCTTTGCATGAGCTAGTACGGCCTCCTTGGTAGATAATAGCTGATGGCCGTAAACGAGGCATGCCATGACCAACGTATCCAATGTAAAATGGCACCATGGTTGCCGTAGCTGAGCCCAACATTCCAATAAATCAGTGATAGCATCGGCTCCATCCACACATAATTTGAGTGATAAAAGTGCAATAGCTGATGTTGAGCATGTGGTTGTATCATCGTCAGGGTGGTTGGGTAAAAAGATGGAATACAGCTGGCACATTTGAAAGTGATATTCAAAGTTGAGCTTGAGACAAGCTTGTTCTCGAAATGATGTCGTGGCCCAATCGCGTGTTGTCAATGGCTGTTGCAGTTTAAAGTAATCGGGAAGGTTGTGGTACCATTCCTTGAGCTGCTTTTCAAGATCGGATACGGTTGCAAGATAGGGGTCAGCATGACCTGAGATGCTTGTATGGATGCGTCGATAGATTTGATTGATCTTGTGACGATGTACAGTGAATTCGGTCCTATAGCGTTGTTCTCCTTGTTCGTGTTCCATGACGCGAGGTGCATTGACACTGATAGCATCATCCAATGGAAACATCAGGGGCTTATCAGAATGGGCGGCGTATAATGTTTCTAGGAATTCGGCTGCTGCAAAGAGACGGCGTCGTGTTTCATTCAATGATGGATTGTTGTTCTTGTCACAAGGGGATAATTCTCGATGCAAACCAAGATCAATACACATTCGAGTAGCCAAACCAAGGAAGGTGTATGCCTCTGATTCATCCCTATCAGGTCCAGTTTTCCCAATGCTGTAAATGTACATAAGTAATAAAGCATGTACGGTGGTCAATCGAGGAGTAAGGAATTGATCTTTGAGTAAATTTTTGGCAGCAATAAAGTAATGCTCCCCGACACGGTTGGGATCTTGGCCAGAAAAGGTCCCATGATAAATAGCTGCATGACGAGCTGACCATGCCAATATTGCATTGAATAATAATGGACATCCCGTCTGCGTTTTGCATTGTTGGATAAATGTCTCCATATCCGGCAGCGGTAAACAAAGAAAGCATTCCTGGTAAATCTTGAGGAGCTGATCCAATAAGTCTGGGTTGATAGGGGTCGATTGCTTTGACGTCTCCATGGATACCATTGGACCATTATTGTTCTTGTTTCCTCGATCACTCGTTGTACTCGACTCCCATGCACTGTACAATGGAAAGATGATATCCTTGGACTTGTACAATGGATTTTGTTTAACAATGACAGCATCCTCTGCTGAAGGTACAGATGACGATCGCTTAAGCCGACTTCCTTTTTCATTATTGTTGCTCGATGAATGAGTCGTGCTTGTTGCCTTATCTCCTTCTACATGCACGGTTGCTGGCCTTCGCGTATTACTCAGCTGCAATTGCGAGAGACCAGAGAGTAAAATGTCGTACAAGTCATTGAGCGAGATAATGTTGGTATCAATCCTTAACCCTTCAGGTGTAAGTGAAAGTGTCCAATTTGCCTTAACTCCCGGGATAAGCTCTGAAGACGAGGATGACAGTAATGGATGATCACTTTGCTCGTTCCTTTTCCGCTTCTTTGCCGATCGCATCTCACTAGCGATAAATTGAGTATCATCCTGGACTTGTTGGACACCATTCTCGATTGATGCAATTCGATTCTGCAGCTGTGTCATCGTATCATGCAGTTGTACAAGATTAAACAAATCCACTTGCGTCGGTGCACCGGTGTATGAGCATGTTGCTGTTGCCATGGTACATTAATACTTGATCAAATGAATACCTTTTCCCCTTTTACCTTTGCCACTCTGACATCGACCACATGTTGGATGGATAAAATCGCATTTGACTTTATGATATTAGCATCTTCACCATTATTGCATTCACACAACAAGTGGAATTACCCTTTTTCTTTCTATTTGAATAGAGTCAGCATGTCACAATAATCCATCTACTGTTATTGATGCTTGCCTGCATCGTTCACATGCAAGGGTCATTCGCATACGTTTCGAAGTGGAATGAGGATCGTCCGTATTTGAAGGTGATGGTTGGTTTGTCATGGATGCAACGAAAAGAGACAAGGGCAATGAAGAGGAGGAGGAGGATAAATACTATATTTATATATAAATACAACAAACACAAATTACAAACAAGACCAGCTCTGATCTCATGCCACTAGTGTAACCGACGGGGTAGGTTTGGATGATTAATCTCTACGTCTTTGGTGTCTAGCAAGCATTTCGGATATTAAGGACATGGTATCTAATCCAAGTGTATAATAATGATCGTTCTTTTTGGCGTTGAATATGCTCATGTGGGCCTCCACTTCGCCTTCAGCTCTTGATGGGATGGGAATGAAATAATGTGCTGTTTCAGGAGGAGGCAATGCAATGAATGTTTTTGGATCCGTGGCCAAACTCTCATGATTCTCAAGCTATTATTATCCTAGTCAGCGATGCCCATTATCAACCTTCTTCTCGTAAATATCCCACGCAACGTACTTGTATATAGAAACATCGAAACAGGACATCATCCAGCTGAGAGAGACGACGCATTCTAATGCATATACATGAATACAAAGGATATCCTTGATCATCCCACTTTTACATACCTTTCCCAACATGCTTCAAAATCCATCAATGTGCTCACAAACTCAACATGATCCATTGCGTCGTTCACCTTTGAAGTAATCACATCTTTGGCCAAATAGGCAGCAGCCCCAACAGCAGCAACACCCACCACACCAGCCAATAGACCCCAACCAGACGATGATTTTTTTGTAGCTGTATTCGAAGCAGCGGCAGCAGCAGCAGCACGAGTCGTAGTTGAAGATGTTGCACCTGTCCACGTGATTTGCTTAGCTGTAGAGGATACTGATCGAGATGAAGTTGTGGCGGTTGAGGTGTTGCTTGTGAAGAATCGGCTGACATGGTTGTTAAGCTTATCCATATGTGACAATGCTGTGCCTGAGACAAAGCGATGATTGAGTGAATAGAATGGTGTATCGTATGCGAGTAATCCAATGACCCGTGCTTTGGTGCCCAGCAAATCTTGGCCCTTTTGTCGCAATATCACCTCTGCAGCTAGATTATTATCAATCAATGCGTGATCATCCTTTGATATCATCATCAATAAAGTACTTACATACAAGTCCTCCCATCGAATGACCAAGTAATACAACCAAAACATTGCCTGTTTGACCTGAAGATGCCATCGAAGTTTGCTGCTGCTTCACTTGATCTTGTAACCACACTTGCAAGTTATGCACCGCCACGTTGAAGTCCCTATCAGCATCTTTTAAGTACACAAGCCATTCAACACATGCACAGTCAATAAAGTACCCTGAAGTCTTGTATCGAGGATATACAATAGTGTGTACATCGCTACTCGTTGCTATGGCCTTTAATCGCTCTGGGAAATCCTGCAAGCAACAAGCACTGTCAATGCCAACCGATTCCAAACTCCATCCGCAATTGTCCATTTGCATGCCTTGAATGTCGTATCTGTTCCCCGAAAGCCGTGAACGAAAACAAGTAATAGTCGATCCTGTGGTGCCGTCATTGGCATACACCGAAGTTGAAGAGGTATGAAAACGAGAGAAAGAAAGGTGCTGCTTGTGTAGCACTTGCCCTGAAATGTCCGCTGTTGCTCAAATGATGAAATCGAGATGCCTCAAGCGGTTCACGTGGTTCCTTGCATGAAAGCAGGTTTCCATCCTTTTTCCCTCTGCCTATTCTCCAAATAAAGGGGTGTATATTTCAACATCTTGGATACGTTTATGACTCGTAATGTCATTTGTTGTCCTTTGCTCATCCTGGTAACCAACACGACGAGAGCATACTACGCTACTGTATTTAAGATAAATCGTGTACCACATACATCTGAAGGATGGTACTAGGGGTAGCATTGTATTTCACTGTCAAGTATGTAAAGGACAGCTTTTGTTATCCCGTCATTAGACATCTCATCATCTCAATGTAGCACTGCCAACACAAGCATAGCCGAATACAACCCACAATCGAAATGTGGCGAAGTAGCTGCAAGGATTATATACCTTTCCTGGATTTGTTGTATCACGCAGGATTTGACATAATAAATAGTGCATTTTCTACCATATCTGTTTCTCTGTTTTCTTCCATTTCCTCTGTAATCATGACCGTCGTTGCTTCTAAAGCCTTATCCCATGTGAGAGATTCTTTTTCTACGTCTTTGCAACGATCACAACCAGTAACCAATGACATTCCAATGCAACAACAGCAACAAGGACAACATCGAGAACAACATCTACCTACTCTTACAGCACAGGAGAAAGAAACAAATATGATCATGCTGGAATCAAAGCAGGCGGATGGGTACCTGCTGGCAGGGCAATTTAATGAAGGACAAAGGCGCTATTCGAAAGGCCAAACTATCCATGCTGATTCATTGCCAAAAGTCCCATTGAGAAATCCACACTGCTGGGAGCTACGCCGTTCCCTCAAGAAGCTCAACATGCGACGGGGAGCTTTCATCTACTTGTTCCCATATCATGTTTCATGCATCATTTTCGATCATTTGTCACACTACGAGCTTACCACGTGTTTGGATGTTTGCGAATTATGGAGCCACTTTATTCTGCAATGGCCGGGGTTCTGGGACACACATCGTCATAAACATGTATTTATTGACCGTACAGTGGCTAGCTCATTTTTGGATGACAAGAATGACCATTTCCGTATCCCAAGTTACGTTGACAACAGGATTCTAGGCCCAATGCTTAAGTTTGTGGTAGCAACAAGTTCATGGAGATACAAACATTTAGGTAAACGTCTCCGCTGTCAAGTGCTTTTTAGTATTCACGTAACGTAATGCACATAGAGTTTGAGCACATGTCCTTGAAGAAGGAACACATTGACTTGGTTTTGGAAGCAGTACAATCACCCAATTCCATAGTTGAAAGGTTGTCGTTCAAGAACTTTAACTTTGGCTCGCAAGTGTATATACTATGTGATATTCTAGGGCGGTGTCCTCAACTGAGGCATTTTACATACCATGTGGATAGCAAACGTCCAGGATTAGACTCCCTGAGGGGGTTCCATTGTAAACTCGATATATCATTTTTGAAAAGACACATGATACAACATTTCTCGAAGGACACAATCTTGGATAAGATCCCTCATGGCGTCTACATGCTTACTACACTTGATCTATCGATGGATGAACGACGATATCGAAACGATTCAGCAGATCCAATCAAAGCCATGGAACCTTTAATATTGCTTCCAAACTTTATAAAACGTTGTCCTCACCTAGAAAGGCTCAGGATCGATTCGTTTGATCACGTTTCGCATGGCCATGTTATACGTGCCGCTATCAAACATTGCCACCGCCTAAAGGATTTGATAGTAAGTGAGTCTTGCAAGATCCCAATTCGCGTGGTGAACAGGTGAGTAACAGCACCCGGCATATGGCATTGTCACCCTTCTCTAATAACCACATGTTACTATCACCACGTAGACATGACACCTTTGCGGGATCAAAAACGAATGGTCTTCATCGCTTCGTGTTATCTGCTCATTATTGGTCCCGCATTATGGCCTGTACTAGTGACATTATGGCAGTGGTCAAGAGACATCATACATCATTGTCGGTGCTCTATCTTCGTTTCGATAGAGAGGTGATTGATTCCCGCTTTCTTTTCCGATTGGCTCATTATAGGCTACCACAGCTACTTGAATTGCATTTGAGTGCGGAGGGGTTCTCGTTTAACGACGACTTGAAGCATACACGAATGGATGGTCTTAGACCATCGTTCAACAAAGCTATCGCTGCTCTTTTACCTCGTTGTCCTAATTTGCGGATATTGCATATTGTCGAGCAACTCTATTGCAAACCTTCGTTGCCTGCCGGACTATTTTCACTTGAGGATAATGTTATCTTATCGCTGGTCGATCACTGCCGCTTTCTCGATCAACTGAAGATTGATACCAGGGAACGCTACATCGTGCAAGATAACCTTACTGCAATAGACTTTGAAGAATTCAACAAAATTATAACAAAGCAAACGTAGTAGTCTTGTTACAGTATAAAAAGTTTATGGTTAATCTTCATAGGGAAGATCTTCTGGGTGTAGCAGTAATAGCTGATCTACGACATGATGATGATGATGATGATGATGATGATGATGATGATGGTTGTTGCTATTTTAAAATGGGACATGATGGTCGACTGGAAGATGAAGCACAAAGATGACACATAACAAGAAGTTGTCGTATGCTTTTATTGGGCCAAGAAATAGTGTACGGAGAAAGGGCAGGTATGGATGTTGCCAAGAACAAGATGTGTATGTGTATTAAGCTTATGCACCACTCGTTTGTCTTTGTTGCATTCACGAGCCACATGGTTTCTAATTCCGAAATGCATTTTGGGGTGCTGTCCCTGGAGAGGTCGTGATTAGCCGGGCTTGGCAGCGTGTTCACACAAATACCTTTTCTCTCTCACACTCACCTTCTCTCTATCACTCTCTCACATACAAGCATTCACCCATCATGAGGCATTTGTTCCACAGTAAAGACCACAAGCAGAACCAATCGCTTCGACTTCAAAAGGAACTGCAAAAGGAGGAGGAGACACTCTGGAAGATTGAACAAGAGAAGCGAAAGTTGCAAGAGGAATTGGACATGAAAATGGCAAGGAAGCTGCAAGAGGAAATGGAGCATCGTGAACAGGATCCCCAACGACAAGAGCAGCAACAGCAACCTGAATTGACTGATGAAGAAGTTGCACGACGTTTGCAAGAGGAACTGAACCGAGGACAATCACCAACACACGATGCTTCACCTTCACCTTCGCCTGCACCAGCACCAGCAGCACCCCCTCCACCAGTGGATACACGTTCTAATCAAGAGCTCTCTGATGAACAATATGCAAGGATGCTACAAGAACAATTTGAAGCTGAGGAACGGCAAGCACAAGAACAGCGTGGATCTTCTTCCTCTCCAGCTTTACCTCCACGTACATTGTCATCAGATAACACGACGCCATCCTCGTCAATTGCTCCACCACCATTACCATCCAAGCCAGTTGCATACAATCATTGTAAGTCATTTATCATTGGGAAAGGGAAAACAAGGATCTAATCATGTTATAGCGACTCATTCTTTGGGTCATGGCTCCACATCTCGTCCACCATGGATCAATCACGCGAGCAGCAGTTCCACAAGTAGCAGCATCAATCTTCCCGATCAACCAGTAACACAACAACCACCACCACAACCACAAAGTTATCCATCAACATCTTCTTCTTCTTATCCTCCTCAACCTCAACCTTCGCAACCTCAACCTCCTCAACCAGCTAGCCCTGTTGCACATACAGTGTATAGTAATGCATCAATACCACCTCCATATCAACCACCGGCAACATCATCAACAGGTTATCCACCTTATCCATCTTCACCTTCACAACAACAACAACAACAACCCCAATGGGCAGCTTATCCTTCACCAACACCACATCCACAGCAATCTTATCATACGCAACCTCCTTCTTCTCCGGCTCAGCAACATCCACAACAACCTTATCCTACGCAGCCTCCTCCTTCTTCGCCTGCTCAGCAACATCCACAGCAATCTTATCATTCGCAGCCTCCTTCTTCGCCAGCTCAGCAACAACAGCATCATCCTATTACTCAACAACAAGAGCCATCCACGGCTACCATGGGATCAACCCTTTTCTCACCAAAGAATGATCCAGTCATGTTCATTGTGCCACCCGCTCAACAACCAACCCAGCAACAAGACGCATCTCAACATCCAGCTTTTATGCCAATGCCAGCTCCTGAAGATCACCAACGTACCATGTATCCTCCTCAGCAGCCATCTAATCCTGTAAATCAGCCACAACAGCAGCCACAGCAACCATATCCACAGCAACAGCAGCCACAGCAACCATATCCACAGCAACAACAGCCACAACAACAACAGCCATTGGATGAAGAGTATCGTTCTGTCAAACCCGCTCAATCATCATCGTCAAGAAGAGTACGAGATCCTACACCTCCACCTAGTCGCTCTACTACTCGTGCATCAGCAGGTTCAGCCAACAAGAGTGATACAAACCCATTTGCTGATAGTTTCGCTGCTGAGGTGTCAGAGGGTGAATCGTCATCAGAGGAAGAGGAAGAGGAAGAGGAAGAAAGGTCGACCCATAAGGATGAGGATGCACCTACTATCACCAAAAAAGTTGGCAAGGACAACCAACAACAACAACAACAACAACAACATGCATTTGATCCTTCTCGATACTTTGATGAAGAGGACCTTGTGGATTTGAATGCACCAGCTCATCATGATGATGACGATGATGATGGTAGTTCAGATGATGGTAGCTATGTGGGACCCGTGTCATCCAAACCTGCAGTGGAGATGGCTGTGCAAACCGAACCTGTCAGCGCTGAAAAGGATCTTGAATCAAAGGCAAATGAGAATGAGGTAGATGCGGTCAAGGATGCTGGTGTGGATAGCAAAGGTATCCAGGCAACCCAAACAACATCATCGAATGAAAAGGCAAAGGACAAACCGGTTGTTCCTGAAGAATCGCTTTTGGACATTGATCTTGAACCAACACCCGTACAACGACATGAACCTAGAGCACGTGCGATATCGAATGTGGATACGAAGGCTGAAATTCAACGACGACTTGCTGAACAAATGAAGAAATCTTCGGCTACAAGAGTGGATCCAACATTTGGTATTAGCATGGGACCACCTCCAGCTGCAGCAAGGAGACGTGATGATTCCGATAAAACACAAGAGGAAGAGGAAGAGGAACGAGCTAAAGACGACAAAGTCCAAGAGACTCTTGAACATCAAGAATCCATGCATTCACTTACACCTGGACCATCCATGTTTTATCACCATCATCGTTCGCAATCAGCAAGTGTTCTTGTTCCTCCAGGCACAGGTCATATTCCACAAGCGACACCTTACATGAATCATGCAGCATATGATGATATGGCATACACACCAACACCCGTCGTCTATCCCGCAAATGTGTTGAGAGCAGGTGCACCGCCAACCATGAGCCCAGAACCTAATGAAGCAGGGTTAGCTACAATGGACAATACGTATGAAGGTAAGCATTTTTTATCATGGGTTGTTTTCGATAAGACGTTTGACAATGGGTCATATTATAGTGCCATCAAACGAATATGGTTATTATCACGTGGATAGCAATGGATACCCTACCAAGGATGACAGCGATGCCAAGTCAGTTAAATCCAACATGACAGCGAATCCAAAGGATAAGGCTCTCCCAAAGATACCCAAGAGTAAGTAAGCCAAGATCGTTTATCATTTGATTTTGTCATTTTGACATTGCTGGTAAAAATAGGTGACCCTAACCACCGACACATTACTGTGCCAAGTGTTAACCCTGGTCAAAGGTAAGTTTTACGAAGGCAAGAGAAGATGATGGTAAATGGTATTCATTCTATTATGGCAGGGTATGGATCCGGCTTAATCCAACCGACACTGGCAAAGCACTTGCACAACGCATTCATGTCGTCGCTACCTACAAATCTCGCAAGATTCTTTCCATCAAGACTACGAGTGGACGTGTGATCCCATTGGATGATACACCTGTGTTTGATGATTGGACTGAGATTGCAAATCTCGAAGATGGCGCTCCTTGGGAAGTTGAATGGGGCCAACTCGACGATCCTTTTAGTGGTGGAAGGGCGCTAATCAAGTCAATCAAGGCTAGCTTGTTGGCAGGCAAAGACTGATTCACCCATACAAATGTACATTATTACCTGTAATCTGCTTATTCCCAACCTGATTATTGCTGTGTTTATAATAATAAAGACGCTTTTGAACAACTCTTCGACATGCAACAGGCTTCTGTACAATGAAAAATCCTTAGCAAATCCGTGCCGCTCTTCGATGCTAAAACAGGCTTGATGTTTGTGTCAAGGTACTTATACCGCTGAGCTGGCTAAATAAACAATGAATCATGTCACGATCAAATCATCACATGCATCATATGTGATTTACTGTACTAAGGATGGTGAGGGACGGTGCAAATAGCATATGTACATGGTGGAGCCCGGCTTGCTGTTTATTCATCCATCATTTTTGAATCTCATCCCCTTTGGCTTATCTTGTAGACGATGATTTAAAGTGAATACGGCGAGTTTGTATTGTCGAAATCTGTACGCAACGCTGATTAGCGAAAATAAAAAAGGCGTCATCATTTTATACTTAAGATGGTCTTTCTTTTGGAGAGTTATTATGCAGTCCCTAGCTGCTGACTTTTTGGGATTGTTACACCAAGACGTTCTGCATCTTTTGCTCTATTATAGTCATACTACTTTGCATTAAACAAAGACCACTTGTCATATAGCATCACGCTTACAAACATAAAGGTGCCTGTATCTCCAAACTTTACAATCAAACGTGGGGTTTTGAATAGAGCAATGTGCTCGGCTTGGCCAACAGCACCTTGTGTGCAAGTTTCATGATCAAGCTTGCCATTCCCAGATTTCGCAATGTCGCTACCAGCCAAACTGGATCTGGGCGTCGACCTCTTCGACGACGACGACCAAAAAATATTTTTTGGGCTGTTTGCGACATTGAACGCGAAACTTTCACATAAGGTGCTGTTGGCCAAGCCGAGCCCATTGCTCTAATAAAAACCCCATGTTTGATTGTAAAGTTTGGAGATACAGGCACCTTTATGTTTTACCTATGCTGTAAGCGTGATGGAGTTGCTTTCTCCTAGTGGATGGTGTCGGCTGCATTAACGGAAAGATGAAGAGCTGAGTGAAACGGCACGTGGTGGTTACACAGACACATCCTTGACAGGTTGCTACATAAATGGATGATGATGATGATTGCCTTTTGTGAAGGTACGTAAGTAAACAGCATCCAATAATGAAGGTGCGTCAAGGTATGCATCACATTTGCATGTAGAAGAAAGTCGAGCTGCATAAACCAATTTGTATATGTAAAAAGATACATATACATATTGAATGAGTCACTCATCCTGAAACTCAATGGAGGGATCTCTTCACTTTTTCTCTTCTCAAGCTCCTTATTGTATCACAAAAGCCATGTACTTCTTGCATGACCGATAACCGGACCACCTTTATTATTCCATCTTTGAAGCAATAGTATGTAATCCACAAGCTAGCAACCTCCAACAAGCGTGTAATAAATAAACAATGCTTTATTTCATCTAGCTATCTTGCTATGTACTGTACATTGCCACCACCATCCTCGTAGTCGTCCTCCGTCATCATTCCTACTCGTACTCGTCACCAGTCCTCAATCTCATCCGTCACACCAAACATCCAAAAATACTTGCTGTCGTGTAACCCTATGAGCCCAACACGCTGGTAGTGTCATAATCTATCCTTTGTAAGCATATCCAAGATAATGAGGCACCAAAAAAACGCGTATTTGAAATAGCTCACCTGTTGATGTGCTCATGATGATGGCGCCACAGGTCACAATTTTGACATACAGTACGACTGGTCATCTTCAGAGTGCCATGTATGTACATTTACCTAACGAATAGTGTAAGCATCACTGATCATTCAGCCTGGTTGATATCAGTTAATTGGTCTTGATGGCAATATTATGGTGCAATAGCAAAAGCTGATCAAGGTAGAAAGCATATTTATTGGAATGTTGCCGTGAATGCACAAGTGTGTTACTAGATAATATTGCCAGATGAAGTAGATACGGGTGAATTACATAGAGTCAACGGGTGTCCTTGTGCCATTGTATTATTGGTTACTGCCGCCATAAACGCCTTCATCCATAATCGCAAAAGAGCTGCTGCGTGCATTAACTGACATGCCAATATCCATCCATGGCATCTTTGGTCAATTGCATCCCATCCATCATCATCCTCAGCCGTATCCACGTGATGTGATCCATCGTTCCTGCCATCTTTCCCGATCACTGCACATGGTTGCATCCATCCATCCATAACAATCGCGAGTCCAATAATGCTTCTGATACGCATCCTTTTCCATCCTGGTGTTGGTCTATTTCTTCCTTGACCATTTCCTATCGCAGCTCAACCAGGTGAAGATTGCTTGTATTGCGGTCTACTTGATAGCTGATATGGCATCGTCTATTGGAATTCGTGCGTATTAAAGCAAGTTGCTGCACCTAATAAAGTTGCTTCCATACAATGCCCATCTGCTGTTCACGTATAAAAGGATGCATGACAGGATGCTGTAAGTAGCTGAGATAATAGAGTGGCACCTGCTGTTACGTTTGGTTGTGGCAGAGGAGCGTGCAAGAACGGGTGTTGTACATAGTAGAGTGGCAAGGTTGTAAACCCTGTTTGAGACAATGGAGCAAAGGCGGAGGACCATGGTGTCACTGCTGCTGCTTCATGCGATAACGTTGGATTCGCTGTGCTGCTTCATGCGATAACTTTGGATCTACTGCTTCTTCTTCTGTTAATGCATCATTTGGGGCCGCAGCATCCATTGATTGTTGTTGTTTGTTCTCCTGCTCACGTTCCTCTTGGCGTTTTTCTCCCTCGTCTATCATTGACTCATACACGGCGCCATTCGCTGTTGTATGTTGTAGCCCACAATCAATATACCAAGACATCACGTAACAAGCCCAGATGCTCCGATTCTCCTTGGATGGTACCTTACCAGCCTGCCCATCTCAATGATTGCTGCTTGCTTGAATGACCCATGTACCCACTTTTTGTGTTAACTGCCACCTTCAGAAGTGCCACCAGTGCTAATAACATTCGATCCAGTGATTCCATGGAATAAAGCCATTGCCACGCCACAGGCAATAATCGTTTATTGCACTCGAGAGAGATGAGCTATCTGCAACGTTTGCATGTAATTGATTAGCCACTTTGCTTTGGCCTGTATCCATTTCTTCAACCAACCTGATATCACTTGCCTTATTCTATCCTTCTTTTGTAATCATGTAAAACGTTTTCTTGCCTCATCCTTGTACGAGAATTCAGTGAGTGGCACCATTCCTTCATTCTCGTGATCATACAGCTCACCTGATCGATGTTGGTCTCTTGATCAATAACGGCATCACCTCATACATAATAGTCAGGTCAAGCATCAGCTAATCCACATGCCTCTTGCCAGAGAATGTACCTTGTTCACCGTTGCCGCTTTTGCCAACGTTGAATAATCTGATCGTGCAATCCCATGTACGCAGTAACCAAGTAAGAGGTGTTGGGAGAAGTGTGTTCTATATCAAGGCCAAGTTGACAGCGTTAGTAAATCATTGCAGCTCGAGTCATCCACGCAGAACCTCTTGTCAGTATTTACCTTGCTAATATTTCGTTGAAGCTCCTTCTCGTATACAATGGATCGTACAAAATAGGGGATCAATAAAAAGTGCTTGATATCCAACAAAGGTGTATGTCGCCATGGTAATGTTGCTGCTGTAGTACCCCATACAATGGCTGATTATCCATATCCATGTGGCCAATGCATTGCTCAAATGAACGAGTGACATGACATAGTCATCTCCATTCCAATAGCTCTCTTCCTCGATGTCCACTTTGCTGCTTCTGCTCGAGACTCGTATAGGATGACCCATGTAAATGAAGATGTTGTGTTCTATCTCCAATACAAGTGAAAAACGTTAGCAAATTATCTGTAGCTTGGATCATGTTACTCTTTGTTGTCGTTACCTTGCCAACCCCTTGCTGTAAAGAAGCATGTGCGAGATACAAAGATCCATGTAAAAGAGAATCAACAATGGGTGCCTGGTACATACAATGGGACCATCCGAATACCTCGTATCTGAATGTTGCGTGTCAACCAGGGACTGTGTGAAGATTATGAAGGGTTAATGTTAATACGACGACGACAAATCACGACATACATGAAAGCAAATACC